CTGGTTGCCAACGAAACCTTTAAGCAATGGAAGTCTGAGTACCCAGCAATGCCTGTTCTGGTGTCCGTGATCAAGCAGTTCCTCCTTCTTCGAGGCCTCAATGAAGTGCCCACTGGTGGATTGGGTGGGTTCTCGATTACTTGTCTTGTCACAAGCTTATTGCAGCACATGCCGTATGGTCACTCGGCACCGAACCTAGGCAGTATGCTCATGGATTTCTTTGAATTCTACGGCAAACATTTTGACTATGAAAATGTTGCCATCCGTTTCAACCCGCCTAGTTACTTCAATAAGGTGAGTGCCGTCACAACTAGCTGAACAACAGAGCTGACAGTATGGCTTCAGAAGGTCTACGGCTCCCGAGATAACAACCCTCGTCTCTCGATCGAAGATCCTAATAATGCTGATAATGACGTTTCTGGCGGCACACGAGAGATTGCTTTGATCTTCCGGTCTTTTGCTGAAGCTTACAGACGGCTCAAGGCACGAATGATTGCAAACGCCAGGTCAGAGGATCCTAAGGCCAGCATCTTGGAAACCATTATTGCGGCAAACTACGACGAATATACCGAGCAAAGGTGGCAACTGCGCCAGATCTTCGACAGCGATCCCCGCTTCGTTCATCTCCATCAGCCTCCCACACCCCCACCCCCACCCCCACCTCAAGGCTCACCCCCGGCTAATACCGCCCCGCCACCACCCCCTCTGCCTCCCAATTCCCCTCCGCCCGTGAAGGAGAAGGAGAAGGTTACTAAGCTGCAAAAGAAGCAACAAGCGGCGCGAGATCGTGCGACACGTCTTAGGCGACTACGACCAGACCTTCCATCTGTTCCCAGTTCCATCACCAATGAGCAAGCAATGAGTCTTGGTGGGTATAAGACCCAGTCAGACATGGATCGGGATCTTATGCAGCGCGAGAAAGAGTCCAACACATCTAGCGAAGACTAAGCCCGTGGCATGGTACAGTCGAGCGCATGTTGTTTGTACAATCCTCCATAATTCATCAGCAAGTGCATTGATGCCATATGCTTGGTGATGATGACGATGTATTCCCCATGGTGGCATTCTGTTATCTATTCTTCTTGCGTCTTTTTGAGCGTTAGATACCCAATTTATGTAGACTTGGAAGGCGTTATGGGAGAAAGTGCTTGGGCTGGCCTTTTGTTGTCTCTCTGTGGTCAATGGGAGAAATAAGGCTGCGCCTGGGGTTTCACAGATTGGTTCGCGGTTCTCACCACTTGAAATGCCTGATAGGGAGGAGATCTTGGAGTCTCGACAGGGCTAACATGTGTGCAGAATTACTGACGTACTTGCCTCAGCCGATTCGCAATGGGAGATGCTTGTCTTTTCGCTCCGCGATGAGGTCTTAGCCGCAGAGACCAGCGGCTCTCCTTACCGAAGCCGAAATTTAGGGCAAGACTTGTTCAGTGTCTGACTGGCAGGCAATACGCTACTAGCAGCAGCAATGAGTTAGAAGCAAAATCGAAATGGTACAGCCGAGGAGACTCTTTTGGGTCTCTGGTTCTTTCTACACACTCCTTTCCCACCTCTTTCTCATCAAGGAAGCGCTACATGCGAGTCCTTGGGGAGGATGCTGCGGTCGAGAGTGATGTGGACGAGCGTTTGCAGAGGACTCTAGGAAAGATCGGTCGAAAAATTGGTCACTTGGATATGCAAGTGGAAAGGCGGCACATACACCATGAGTCATTTCAGATTGTCGTTCGAATTCATGAAGGATACATGTAGGCAGCCAACCCACCCAAAGCCCGTGTCGACTGGGGAATGCGTGGCAGCCGGGCAGACCGATTAGATTCCCATCAGGGTCACTGTTATTGATGAGAAGACCAAACCGCTGTCTCGACAGGCGGCGTCGCAGACTGGTTTCCATCGCCCCGGCTAACTAGCCTCCGCAGCAGCATCTTCGGCTTTCTCAAGAGCTGACAGGTGATCAGCAGGTAGAGTATTGACGAAGTCAGGTCCCGGGCTGGCCCATGTGTAGTCCACCCAGTCCGGACCGAGGATGGCTTGAATCTGCTGCGCCAGATATGCGATGCGGTGCTGACGATCCCGGGACCCGCCCGACGGGGTCTGCTGCTGCTGCTGCTGCTGCTGCTGCTGCTGCTGCCTGTCTTGTCCATCCTCCAGTCCATCAAGAATACTCCGCCACACGCTAAGCGTCTCATCCAACTCCCTCGCATTGCTGACTCCCATCACGCTGACGCCCAGCCGCTTCTCAGTCCCACTGGAAGCCACAGAGACCAAACCCGAGTCCGCGTTAGGGGCGCGCGCAAGAGGCGGCCCCATGGCGCCGACTTGGGCCCCATCGCGCAACCACGCCTCCAACGCGAACCGAATCGCGATAACTTCCAGCTTCTCCCCCTCCTGGGAGTGAGCCCACGCGCCGGCTGCCAGAACGGCATTGCGCAGCCCGTCCGGGGCGGGGTGGAAATCGCCCATGCTCCCGATGGGGACGCCCTCCCTGCGCAACAGACCCATGCCCAGCGGCGAGGCATTGGGCACGACGTCCACGCCGGCGGCCACCAATCGCGGCAAGCCTTGGCTGCGGAGCTTGGTGTTCTGCAGCGTGAAGTTCGCGTACGACTGCACGAGGTCCAGGGGCTCGCCGGTCTCGCGCAGCACCAGCTCGGCGATCTCGCACAGCACGTCCACGGGATAGCCGGAGATGCCGACGTAGCGGATCGTGCCCTCGGTGTCGCGGATGCGGCGCAGCTCGCGCACCGCCTCCAGCGCCTCGGCGCGCGACACGAACTCGACGTCGTGGCAGTACACCGCGTCCAGGTAGTCGGTGTGCAGCCGCTGCAGGCTCCGGCGGATGCTGTGGCGGATCCACCGCGGCGAGTAGTCGAACGACGAGGAGGCGATCCGGCCCACCTTGGTCAGGATCTGGTAGCTGTGGCGCGGAAATGCGGTGCGGACGGCCTCGCTGGCCAGGGCGCGGCCCAGGAGCTCCTCGGCTGGGCCGTAGTATGGCGACGTGTCGAAGGCGCGCACACCGTCGGTGAGAGCGCGATGGACCAGCTCCGTGGTCGGGAGTGCGTACGGGTCGTGGTTATATTGGGTGTTGAAAGTCGCGGTGCCCATGATCAGGGGCGGCAGATGCGCCGAGAGGGGTGTCGAAGGGCGACCCATTGTTCTTTCGTTTCTGTCTTATCCTCTGACTGTAGAGACTGGTGAGAAGGTTGGAGGAAAGAAAAGTAGGTGCCGTAGTAGATCACTGGGGGTGTATATAGCCTGTAATAACGCAAGTGAGGGGAAGATGGAAAAATACGTTGCGGAGATAAGAAGGCGCCGACGCGGGGACGGGAGGGAGGGAAGAGGGGAGCAGGCAAACATTTCCGACACAACCCCCGAGGATTGGCCCTGGCCGGATGGGTTTTCCGTACTTATCACACCTACTTGGGATTACTGAGAGTAGGTGAATCGCACTAACGACTATCGTGAAGCCGTGAGGTCTACGTTTCTTGCAACGTTGCTGGACCGAGAGACAAGAATAGAGCATGGATCTTATTTATACATATGCACGTTGTGGATGGTCGGATCACAGCCACAGAAGCTATCGCCTTTCAGCGCTCAAAATACAGGAGGGGAGAATCAACAAAAGAGGAACAAAAAGCATACAGAGCGAGCAAGGACCACTCTGACCCTGTCCGCTTTCAAGTCCCACCTCTTCAAATAATGTACACAACAAACTTCGTTTCGGACCCAATGCATCGATAGGCAACAGTTGTCCGTCTGGAGGGGTTTAACCTCAGCAACAACAGTACCCTTCTGCCACTCAGGTGCTGGGTCCGACCCGGGTGGGGGCGGCACGCCATCGAAATCGAGGGAATCGAGAACAAGTCTTCCAATCCAAGAAACCTTGGATTCACCAAAAACGCCATGCTATGCTGCAAAAAAAAGGCCCTCATCAACGGAGGGAAGAATAGAGATAGGTCGGCAAAGTCTCCAAGACCGTTCAGTCGAGTACGGTTGGCGCGATCGATCCTTCTTTTACCAGCCGCGGAACCGATCGAAAACGTGGGCGGAGGGAACCGAGAAGAAGGATGGATGATTCGAGATGTGGAAGCTTCCCGATTGTACTAGGTTCAAGCTTTTCACCGATCCTTATACACCTTGGGCTTCCATCCCTCCTGCAATTCCTTCTCCTGGGCGGCATGGCGCTCCGCTTGTCGGACCTCCATCTCTAACCGCTCACGGGCACGAAGAATCTTGCTCTGAAGGTAGAAGCTTCCGCCCTTCTGAGGGTCGTTCATGTCGAACAATTTCTTGAAGCGCTCCATCACCTGCTCCAGGTTGGTCTCACCACCCTGTGGGGGCTTGACATTGAGGATCTTGCAGGCTTCGTCGAGAGTCAAGCCAGAGGCGGCCCCGCCGCCCACTTTCTTGCCTGTCTGCGCGGCGTACTTGGAGGAGGCCTGGGCTTGCTTGTAGGCCTCGGCGAAGGCGCGACCGAAGACGCGGGCGCCCGTAACGACGACTTGGGTGACGATGCGATGGGCCTAGATAAGGGCGAAGAGCGGGAAATGTCAGTCTGGAAACAGAATAACGTCGAGAGAAGGGGAAAAAAAGCTTCGCCGACCACATACCATGATGCGTAGTAATGCTAAGAGCCGATCTAGTGGAGGGAGCACTGGTGGCGGGGGGGGGGGAGTTAAGGTGTGAATTTGTTGTCTGGTCTGGCTGAAGGGGAAGTTGAGCCAGGTTTGGATGGCAATCGAAACAGACAGAGAGGGAAATTTTCGGCGGTGATTTTAGTCCGAACCGGGGAAGTGCTGGAATTACTGGTGACGTTTGGTGTATTACGGTACGGTACGGTATGGCACGCTACACTCGATAGTTACAGTTATTCAGTACTTCGTACAGTAAGTACATCGCTCGGTCAGAAGTCCCTGTCACATGTTCCCGACCAAACAACCAACATGGACTACGACTATTGTTTGGAAAAAGGCTTCATCAATCCGAATTTCCTCTGTGTGCTTCCTGGGGCCCCCGCAATTTGAAGAATGATGGATCGGCTTTTCACTTACTAAATACTAGTTCTACCTACCGCCTGCTGAAGCTTCTCGCCTGTCCCTTCTCTTCTCCTATTTCTTCTTCCTCCGCCTTCTCCTTCCTCTTCCTCTTTTACTCCGCCGTACTTCTTCGTCCTTGCGACCTCCTCACTTTCTTCTCCGCTCACCGCCCGCAATGCCCTTGGCGAATGCATATGACGTCTCTGTTGTTGGATGGCAGCACTCGGTATGTAAGACATTCAACGCATCCCAACACTCCTCAAGCATCCTCCTCATTATATCACTCTGGTGTCGGCCGTCAGCAAAATACTAATATGCGGGGATAGAAGAACTTCCGTGGATAGATTCCATGGCCCCGTCATCTTCTTCTGCGCAGGACCATGCTGACTCTCAGCCTCCGACGGTCGCTGCTTTCTCTCCTACTACCATCTCTGGCTCATCATTAACCTCGAGACAACGCTCAAGTATCATTGTACACCGCAAGTCCCCTCTTCTAGTAGCCACTCCGCCTCAAATAACCCGCGCTTTGGCTTATTCGCACCCCTTCATTCTACCCCTAAATAAACTCGTGGGCTTGCTCACATGGACAACTGGGGACGGATGGCAGAGCTTCCTACTGGTGGCCGTGTTTTGGACCCTGGTCCTTTATGGCGAGGTCATCATCTTGTGGGCAGGGCCAGTCCTGCTGGTGGTCGGGCTCATTCTGGGCATGTACTGGAGACGATACTCGCCCTTGTCCTCTAGGGCTCACATTGCTGAGAAGCAGAGCCATCAAAGAGCCATATCCGACAGCTCTCCTCATGGCAATGAGACTCTAGATGAGATTGTTGAAACTCTTAGGACATTCACAACTCGGTGCAACATACTGTTGGAACCTCTCGTGGAGCTGACCGAATTCTTATCAACGCAAAGGACGGCTACATCTGCTACCACCCGGCCAGCTCTTACTACTCTCTTCTTCCGAATCCTATTTGTGACGCCTATCTGGATTGCTTTGACCCTCCCGCCATTGTATTTGATAACCACTCGTCGCGTAGTCATGATCTTTGGCACTATCATCATCACCTATCACTCCCGACCGGCAAGGGTCTGTCGAGTCATCCTATGGCGTTCATTGACCATCCGCAAAATCTGTTCAATGATCACTGGACTGTCTTTCTCGTCGGATGTGGAAAAGACATTATCAGCCGTGATGCAAAGCCACGGGCATGCGGTCAACATCGCCACGAGACGGCGCGGGGATTCCTCCGGCGTCCGATTCACGTTCATCATCTATGAGAACCAGCGTCGCTGGCTGGGCATCGGTTGGACGTACTCTCTCTTCCCCTCCGAGCGTGCTGCTTGGACCGACGAGCATTTGAACCCGGTACCTTCAAAGGACGAATTCGAGCTACCTGGCGTTCAAAGTGGGAATGCACAGTGGCGGTGGGTCGATGGCAGCGAGTGGCATATCGAAGGGGCCGATGACCAAAAGGGACACTCCGATGCCAAGTCATCTGACGGTGGAGGATGGGTCTACTACGACAACAAGGCGAGTTTGGCTCTATGGTCTCAATTTCAACCCAGGCAGTCTAGCTAATTTTCCGCAGTGGAATGAGGGTCGCCGTGGCCAGGACGGCTGGGACCGATACACACGTCGTCGGAAATGGTGTCGCGACGCCGAGCTTGTTGAAATGCCCTCTGCAGCAGCCGAGGGCGTATCTACAGCAGTGACATCCGGTCTGTCCCAAGCCTTGGAGGCAGAGAAACAAAAAAAGAAAACAACCGGCACCGTGGATGCGCGTCCGGCGGATACTAGCGGCGGAGGCGATACCGATAGCCTGGCCCCCTCGACCTCCTCCAAGTCACGGAGACGCCAATGGTTCGGGAGCACGAAGAGTGTAAGCGACATCAAGAACAGCAGCTTCTCCTCTGCTCCACCAACATCCACCAACAACTCCTCCGTTGATCTTGGAAGAATAACGTCTGCCAATAGTACCAATCCACCACCACCATCCGGGAGAGCCCCTTCCAGGCCGATTAATATCTCTCACTCTCGAAAACTGTCCAACTATTCCGGCACCGCCAGTTACAGCAGCAGTCAGGGACCAGATGGTAGCATCCGAGAAAAGGAAGTTACTCGAGCGCAGGATCAGCTGGATCGATGGGCTGCCCGAGCCGCAGGAGGAACCGAACGGGCAGAGCGAGAATTGGGGCTAGGCGACGAGGTTAATATGGGATTGAGCTGATCTCGGTTCACAAATCCATTATGCAGCATGGTGCACAGACCTTTCAGATTGACCATTGAGTGAAGCATCTGGCTTTTTATGACGCCCATTAGTCGAGTTTGGGCCTCTTGGGCGCTTCGACCATCTTTGTCCTGTACTTACGCCGCGACGACATGAAGATACCCCTACAATTCTAGCCAAATATAAATGTGCTGGTAATTCAAACTTTGGCGCCGTCGCCCATCTTCATTCTATCAACTGGCTAAACAGATATCATATATGCCTTGGACTCAGAAATTGTTCATTATGGGCATACCTCTCCACCTCCGGAGATCCGTCCCCTCTTCAAAGTAGAACTCCCATATCAAGCAAGTATGAGATCCCACTGTAATTGATCCAGCAAGTCCAGCCAATGCACTCCTTCAGTAGCCCATAGAGCGTGTAGCATCTCCTTTGCTCGTTTAACATTCCCAATCCCGAAGTTGACCTCAAGGCTACTCAAGCATGTCATAACAAGCTCTTTATCCTCGGGTGCCCTGATCTCGCAGCCGGCAATGAGCAATGGAAATGTGAGCGCGGAGTATTCGCAGTGGGCATCGAGGGGCGATGCCGTTCGGATCCTGCTCAGAAGCATCTGCAGGGCGTCCGACCTCGACATAGAGATCAACGCTGACCACGGGCCTGCAGTGATGGTAATTTTCGTACCCTTGCTCATCTTTTCTAGGATGGAATGGAGGTAGATGTATGCCGCATCGCGGAAACAATTTGCGACCATGCGGAGGCGACAGAGGTTCGTTTCTGTGATACCCTCGGGGATGATGTACCTCATGTCCTGATGCGTCCAATCATGCAGTAGTGTATCACTGGGGTATGTATCAGCTATATGCACGTTTGAGGAATTGAAAGTATGACGGCTTGGGGAAAGGCTCTAGAGAGGTAGGTGACTCACATTGCATGAATCTCGATTCCTAAAGCTACAGGGTCATGGCTTAGGGAAGGCAGATCGGCGATCCTTGCGCAGAGTTTGACAAGATCCTCCGCGTAGCCAATGTATATATCGAGCTTGGTGATCCTGACGTCCTCCATATCAAGCATGCTGGAGGTTATTTGCTTGCGACTACTGATTTTGGCAACATTATGAGCATAGATATAGCTATTGTTCTTTGTTAGTATGACCTTTTTTTTGGAGAATGAGATTGACGACATACAAGCCCATCAAGAACTCCCGGGTGTCATGATTCAATGCCCCAAAGCCACCCCGTGCAATGACTAGCTTCTGGAGAGCATTCAGATGCGCTACCCACTGCTTAACGCTTCCACGAACAATCTCGTATTTGCAGAGCAAAGCCACCGCGAGAATGGCTTCATCAGGAAATCTTCCAGCGGGATGTTCCGAGATTACAGATTGCAGCCCATTCAAGGTTTGAATGTAATACATGGTGGCAGCAGTTTGGGCCTCTGAATGGGCAGCTAATCGATTCGCACAATGCGTCGCCGATACTGCGCATAAAGCTTTCATAAGAAGCGAAGATGATAGGGCCCGAGGTATGATCAGAGACCGTAGAGGGTTGTCGGCGCTCTCAAGATTTGCGAGTAACTTGGAACCGAGCTCCATGTGATATTGAAGATAGTGCGTTTCTGAGTGCGAAAGATGACTGAGGGATTTACAAGGCGTGAGTGCCACTATAGCGAGGGCACTATTCTCAGCAGTGGTATGTGCTGGCATCTGGTCAACCTCATCCTCAGTGTCATCGGCATTTGATAGACACATATCACTAGCACCAGAATCCGAGAAAGTGGTAGGGGTAGTTGGTTGGTAATGTAGCCATGAGGAGCTTGAGCATGGCGAGTTCGTACTTGCTCGTCCCAAGGAGGATGAGGAATTGGAAGACGATGTGCTAAGTCTCCTGCGCTTTGTTGGTTCTGCTTGACTGAAGACCTGTGCTGACGGGTTCAAGGGCTCTGCCCATATTGAGCCATATCCCTCACACTGTAGTCCTAATCTAGCACAACTACGACATCTAATGAACGAGTTCAGTCAGTGACAACGAAGGTCATCGAGCACTAGACATACCCGGGTTTAGATTCGTCACATCTTTTTCGGCGACGTTTACATGTCAGACAGCCAGTGCGTGTCCATTTCCCGCCTTCTCTCCTGTATCTTCTCTTACTGACGGCCTGGTATTGTGCCGCCAATGGGTTTACAGCGGCGTGAGGTAGTACTCGGTTTCCAGTCACAGTGTCATCCCACATTCTGAGGCTATCATGGGCAGAAACCCGAGGACCGGTGGGAATCGAACAATGAGCTTTAGCGGTGTCAAGGAATGTTGTACAAGTTCTAACATAGAACAGATCGGATTAATTTAGCAGTGGAAGAGTTCCGACAAGTACGTATCAAGTACTCATATGGACTCGCCATTAACAGAAGATCGAGCCAATGCAGGTAGTACTGAGGCTAGCTTCCAAGATTCAGATACTGATTGAAAGTGGTGAGGGGGTGACAGTGAGCGAGTTAGTTATTGATGACACGGCGGAGATGGTTTCCCTTGGTGGCACTAAACTGAAAAGGGTAGGTGATGCGCTCAACCTGGAACTAAAAGTTATCGCCTGGGCTTCCCCTCTTGGGATGATTGCCAAGGGAGACAGTTGTATGTACTGTCTGTACAGTACTTGCTCAGGAAAAGAGACTGGGGTCAATCCGCATGGGAAAGCAAAAAGAACTGTTTGAACAAGAACTGTGGCTCCTACTTATCTCCAGGAAAAGATAGTGGCGTCAATTCTTCTTTCCTTTCCCATAGTACTGTACTGTGTACTGTAGTTACGTAGTCAGTACGGAGTAGACGGACTGATAAGAGCGGCAGATAAAGAAAGAGTGGGACAGACATAGACACATTCTTGTCTTATCGCCTCCGGAGCCTCTCGCATCCCTCGGGCTCCGAAGAGCATCATGTCAGGTACGAGAAACCAGACTGGCTGTCACCTGTGTGATTAAGTAAACTGTGATGATGATGCTCATACTCGTGTGAATAGCTGGAATAGCCGCGGCGGGGAGAGCGAAAGAGAAGCGGGAGAAGCGATTGAAGGACGATGTTCCATCGGCAAGATAAACGCTTCACCTCCAGGCTATCCGCTTCCCTTTCCGCTTTAGGCAAGTCCATCCAGACTCTGTGGGGGGAAGAGGCTCCATCCCCGATTATCCCATGGTCGATAATGTTCAATCTCCCTAATGTGGAATCTCTGGAACACTCCCGAGTCAAGGCTGCTGCTGCTGCTGCTGCTTGCGAAATGAACGGGAAAAGAATCTTTGGGACTACTTAAAGGTCCTTCAATGTCCTCCTGCTCCTGCTCCTCCTCCTCCCTCCCTCAATGGTTAATTCGCAGGGTGTGTGCAGCGGTATTCTCATCTTTGTTTCTGGTCCCTTAATACAACCTCAAGATGTCTCTCGCAACTGAACCCAGCCCTCGATTGACTGCGTCGAGTGGCCCTCATCCCTTTGATCCAGTCACTCCGAGAGAAATCAGACTAGCTGTTCGAGTTTTGGAAAACGCCTTCGCTGGAGTTAAGCTTCGCTACAATCGGATCGATATCCACGAACCCATCAAGCATGAGGTTGTCCCATACATTGAAGCTGAACGCCTAGGGCAGCGTCTACCGCGCAAGCCCACGCGCCTCCTATACTCATACTTTCATCGCCTCGATACTCTTGAGTGTTGCAAGGCGCTCATCAATGCTGACACCGCGTCAATTGTCTCGACTAAAGTGCTCCCCAAGACCGTTCAGGTATGCGCATTATCATCTGCGTTCAGATTTGTATTGAGAATTGACATTGTTGTGCGTATAGCCTCCCGTCGATATCGATGAACTCGCCGTGATTGAAGAAGTCTGCATGAAGCACCCGGCTGTGCAGGCAGAGATAGCAAAACTCAACCTGCCACCGGGAATGGCTGTGTGCAATGATCCATGGATGTACGGCACTGAGGATCAGACTGAGACACGTCGGATGTTCCAGTGCTTCATGTACATGATGGAAGTGGACCACCCTCAGAATAACCACTACTCCCTGCCATGCAAATTCTCTCCCGTCTTCGACGCCTTTACCCACGAATTGATCCGCATGGACTATCTACCAGGCGGCGATGATCATTCGTTCACTGAGACGCAGGCTTGGAAGCCTGTCAAAGCTGTGCAATACGCTCACGACCTCCTTGATGAGCCTGTTCGCACGGACCTCAGACCTTACATTGTTCAGCAACCAGAGGGTCCCTCTTTCAACGTGGACGGCAACTTTGTTTACTGGCAAAAGTGGCGCTTCAGGGTCGGCTTCAACAACCGGGAGGGTATGGTTCTGTACAATGTCACATATGACAACCGCAGTGTTTTCTACCGTCTTTCAGTCTCGGAGATGACGGTGCCCTATGGAGGTGGGATCTGACCCCAACGGACCTGATCAAACTTATCACTAATCCGACTCTCATAGATCCTCGCGCTCCTTATCACCGCAAACAGGCCTTCGATGTTGGAGATGTTGGTTTCGGTCTCAACGCCAATCAGCTCTCGCTCGGCTGTGACTGCTTAGGCCACATCAAATACTTCGATGGCTACCGAGCCGATTCCAAGGGCAACCCAGTCTTGCTAAAGAACATTATCTGCATGCACGAACAGGATAACGGTATTCAACACAAGCACACTAATTACAGAACCAATGCAGCAACAGTTGTCCGCAATCGTCAGCTTGTTATGCAGATGATCTGCACTGTTGCTAACTATGAATACATCTTCGCCTATATATTCGATCAGGCGGCTAACGTCGAACTTGAAGTCCGCGCTACCGGTATTCTGTCTACAGTACCTTTTGATAACGAAGACGGCAAGACTGTTAGATGGGGTACAAATGTTGGCCCCGGTGTTATGGCTCCCTATCATCAGCATATGTTCTCGTTCCGAGTCGACCCCGCCCTCGACGGCTTCAAGAATACCGTCTACTATGAGGACAGTGTCCCCTTACCCGAGGATGACAAGAACCCTTATTTTGTGGGATACACCACTCAGCAAACTGTCATCAACAAGTCCACCGCCGCAGACCTTGATATCAGCCGAAGCCGAGTTTTCAAGATTCGCAATGACAGCAGCATCAATCCCATCACTTACAAGCCCGTGGCATACAAGCTCCACGCCGCACCCAGCCAAATGCTGATACAAGGCAAGAACTCGATTGGACATCAACGGGCTGAGTTCGCTACACGGCCCATTTGGGTCACAAAGTACCGGGACGAGGAGCTTTACGCGGCAGGCGAGTTCACGAACCAAAGCCACCGCGCTGATGGCGTAGAGACATGGGTCAAGAGAAACGATCCCACCGAGGATGAGGACGTGGTTCTCTGGCACAGTAAGTTCCCTTCCACCCCCCATGTGTATCGCTCCACCTCGAAAAAACATTGTACAATGGACTAACATGCCATCCTTCCGTAGCATTTGGACTGACACACAACCCTCGCATTGAGGACTTCCCCGTCATGCCCATGGAACGTATCAGCGTCATGCTACGTCCCGACGGCTTTTTCACCAAGAACCCTGCCCTCGATGTGCCGCAGTCATCTCAGGCCTTTAACAAGTCAACTCTTCACCCGGAAGCAGCGACCGCGGCGACTTGCTGCTCGGGCGCGGGAGGCAGCAAGGCCAAGCTGTACAAACGACTAGATTGAAAGATGTCCCGTGGGATTGGAGGATGGCCCGCTTGATCTAGACTTTCGCCCATGAAGGGCGAAAGCATTGTATGATTCATGACTACACATACTGCCATCTGGCGTTTGGAGCAATGTAAATAAGAGTTTTATTTTCCAAAGGTCTCGATATCCTTCTTACAACCACCGTCGCGTTCATTTGTGTCTCATTAATACATGCTGTTCTGATTTGAATGACAGACTCTGTCGGAGCCAGACTGGTTATATAAATCAGAATCCTTGTACGTAACTAAGTTCGTCATTTCGGTGTGAACTCCGCCCACGTTCGTGTCCCATAATCAGACCCGTTATCAGTCTCCAAACCATTTTCATTCCTGCACCTCATTATTCCATAAGTCTCCACCTTGAAGAAAAGCCATGCGACCATTTCCATTTTTGCCCGGTCACCCAAACCCTACATTTTAAAACAACCAGGAAACAGGAGACTTGTCATGCCCAGGCACCAGAAGGGCCTACAGCATGGGTGTCGGAGTACCCCTTCAAGCCTTCTTGGGCACGTGAGCGCTGGGGACAACACCGTGGCCAACGTTGTCGATAGCGGACTGACGGGCGCCGGTGAGACCGAACTGACGGTTGATGCCCTCGACACGGTGAGTGGAGTTGATGTTCTTGACAAGAGTAAGCTGCCAGCAGGTAGCTCCACCCTGGCGAGAGGTGATGGTAGAGTAGGCCAAGAAGTACTCCCAGATCTGCAGACGCTGGTTAGTCATGTCCGGTGAGGAAACTTAGGAGCGTCACAAACCTTGAACCATCTCTTTCCGTACTTGGCCTCGACCTTGTCACGGTTGCCCATCCAGTTCCGGTACCAGCGCCAAAGGGTGGCAGAGTAGTGGACGCCAATGGTGTCGACAGCCTTGATTTCAAATCCGGCGGCCTCCAGTCGATCAACGACAAAACCAAGCGGCGTGCTAGCGTCAGCTCCGGGGAAGATGTACTTGTTCATGAAAAGACCCCAGATAAGATCCTCATACTGCCAGGACTTACGCAGACCAGCAATCTGAAGGAAGAAGACTCCATCATCATCCAACATTTCGTAGACCTGAGACAAGAAAGTAGTGAAGTGACGAACGCCGACATGCTCAGCCATTTCCAAGCAGGTGATCTTCTTGTAACCTCCGTCCACCCGGGGGGCGTCACGGTAATCGAGGCACAGGATACGGCTTTGAGATTCCTCAACACCGGCATTGCGAAGACCCTTGTTACCCCAAGCAGTCTGGTTACGACCGAGAGTGATACCAGTGACCTGAGCGCCGTAGTGGACCGAAGCATATTTGGCCAGAGTACCCCAACCGCAACCGAGATCGAGGACGGTGTCACCGGGTTGAATGCCGATCTTTTCACACACCACAGCCAGCTTGTTGTCCTGAAGCTCCTCAAGCGTCTCCTCACGGTTGATATCGCTAATGATTCCCGAGGTATAGATCATGCGAGGACCCAGGAACCAAGCGTAGAAGTCATCGCCACGATCGTAGTGGTCACGAACCTGTTCCTCATCTGATTGACGCATCTACAGTCAGCAACCTAGTGTTCCCCAAAGTCTAAATGAAGCCTGGTTACTTACCCTGGGAACGAGTGTGCATGATCATCTCAGGAATGAACCCGAAGAGGAAATGCTTGAAGAGACCCATGGTGAAGCGGAAATTGGCCCAGTCGTGACGGAACTCAAGGGCTTCCAGGGCGTCACACTTGAATTCCACTTCACCGTTGAAGTACTTTTCGTAGAAAACCTCCATGGGGATCTTGCTCTTGCCACGATAGGCAGCGCGGTCGTGCTCGCTGTGGAAGTTGAGGTAGTACTCGACGGGGCGACCGGCATACTTGGCCTTTTCGTTTTTGCGGGGAGAGATAGAAGAAGCTACAGACCAAAAGGCCATGAGAATGGGGATAGTGGTGAAGATAGCAAAGAAGATGGTGGTGTAGAAACCACCGCCAACTTGGCGAGCGAGGTACCATGGGATCAGCAACAACAGGGCGAACAACAGAGTGTTGGAGAAGCTATCGCTGCCAGGGGAATCGGCCGGTACAGGGGCATTTTTGATGGCCGGGTACTAGGAAACAAGAAAACCATTGATAGTTAGTCAGTGTTTGATTCCCACGGCTCTGAGGTCCTCGAGGTCCTAAACGGAATGAGAGGGAGACAATTGCCAGAGGACAAAGAATTGGAGACAGCAAAGCGACTCACCGAGGTCGTCCGCACACCACAGTCATCAGCGGGAGTGACGCACGAGGCGGGAGGAGTTTCAATGTACTCGAAGTCCTCAAGGGACTCGGGATGTACAACCGTCATGGCGGAGGAGACGAATTGACAGGTCGAGGAGGAATTGAGAGAGAAAGAGAAGGGGGAGGAGGGAGGGAGGGAGAGAGGGGAGAGAAGAAAAGAGGTGGAAAGAAGAGGACGAAAGGGAAGGATGGGAAAAGAGGGAGGGAGAGCGGCGAGTGTCTGGACGGCAGCGGGAGTGGATGTGGTGGATGTGGTGGATGTTGGTCGACTGCTAGATTGGGGAGGAGCAGCATCGGATCCCTTTCGTCAACAACAACATTTATTCATTTATTTATTTCCTCAACCCCGTACGGTTCAGATGGTCGGAATACACATCCAAACAATTCCTAACTTGGTTTTTCCAGAGATTGGTAGCTATGAGCTATGCTTAAAGACGTTTCTGCCTGGTCCCAATCGTTGAACAACAATAGTCAGATGTATGGATGGATCGAAGCTCCAGGTACCTACGCAAAGGCTGGTCTAATCGAGCCAAAGATAGCTTGACTTTGTTTGGGTCTAGTGCTTCGTCGACTGTTCTAGGGCTGTTCGCAAGGGTGAAAGAGAAAGAAAGAGAGAAGCGGTGAGAGGGGAGTCAAATATATGTCTGGTCTTCTCATGTCTTTTTTTTTTTTTTTTTTTTGAGGCTAAACTGTTGCAAAAGCTCCTGGCCAAGGTACAGTACCAATACCTACTAGGTACGGAGTAAATATTTACTCTATTATTGTTCCAATTATGCGCCCGGTAGGGAAATCCGATGGAGATTTGAGGTTCGGGACCCCGACCGACGCATCCATGGTAAGCGCACACACCGTCACACCCTGCTGAAACGCGGCCAGGCGAATGACCAGCCGCATTGTATTCTTAGTAATGGGTGTCGTGGCCACTCAAAGTGCTGCTCCATTGTGTGATGACGACTGATCCCGAGGATACCGTGTCCATCCACAGACAACAAACTATCTCCAAGCATACGGTACCTAGTAAGTTACTGTACATACATTTCTAGCATGTACCGTACATAAGGATTAGTTTACCTTGATGCATGCTGGGACGCACCTAATGCTACTATGTATGTAAATGCTAACTTTATGGCCTGGCCGGTCGATCTCTTTAGCTCCCCTTTCCCCGCGTCATAAAAAAGTCTCATAAGCTAGATGCTGCATGTAATCATAATCATCAAATCACTTCATACAAAACGCCCCGGGAAACCTTCCACGCTGCGATCTGCACCTGGATTGCTTGCCCACCATGGTTTGTTGAACAATAGAATCACATCAACCACAGAGGAGTAAAAAGCAGACGGACCAAAAGCAAGCACCATCTGAAACACCGTGTACCCACCAAAACAATAATTAACCCGCCCAGACACCGAAGCCTCTCCATGGGATGTAGGCCTTTGTTCCCTTATGCTAATCCGTTCTCACAGCGTCAATTGAAAATCCTGAGCTTCCACATCTTCATCATAAACTGGGAGATCCTCTTCAGCAACCAAGACGGGAAGTCCATCGGTCAAAGACAACATGCCAGAAGGATGCAAGTAAGTTTCTGGAGATAAAATGCCCTTCGGAGCCGTGTCTTGCTCGACCGGGGTAGCTGTTCTGCTACTCATCTTAGATGATACCTCGCGGCCTCGAGTATACCCCAGAGTTGTTCTGGAATTGGCTTCAGCTGCGGTGCGATGCATGCTTGGCGGGTTGTCTGGGGCTCGGGGCGTTTTTGTAGAGAACAAGGACGTGGCCATTCTTGTTCTTGGTTTGGCCAAAGTAGCTGATCGGGTGCGGGGAACCGATCGGTATGTCCCAGAGAGGGCGGTAGCGGCATCACGAGCACGTACGGTGGAAACATTGCTGGTGCTTTTGGTGAGACCCGCAGTCGCTCTGGTACGGCGGGTCCCGACACGGCGTTTCACCGTCTCTTCCACAGCAGGCTTCTCCAGTTGTTCTGTTTCAGACGGCTCTTCGAAATCGATGCTCTCAACCTGCTTCAGGATCAGATCATCGATCAGTTTGTCACAGGCTGCTGAGTCTTTCTGGAATTTGCGCTCTCTTCTAGTCAATCCATCAGGTCCGATCTCATTATCAGCCCCATACACGCTCTCCAACCCGCGGGCAAGGTTCCTCCCTTGAAACTGAGGGAACGTGGTATCGTAGGTAACTTCATCAGGGTAGTCCGGAAGATCTGCTACTGTTAGATATCACATATCGGTACCAGTATGTAAGTGGGTGACCGACCTTGAGGCTTAGGCGGCATATACTCAATGTCGGGAACGTCATCCTGCACGTGCTTGGTTTGTGTTTCTGGCTGCGCCTGTTCGATGAAGGGGGAGAACTTCTTCACCCTCTGCGTCGAGCCCCTTTTGAGAGTCTTCTCTGGCTTCGCGGTCCCTCCGGGAGGCGCGGGGGTCTGTAGGCCTCTAGCTTTGGCATTGGTGGTTTTCATGCCCAAGGGGGCGCGTTGACGGGGGTCAGCTGGAAAGAAACGCGTCATATTAGCACTTGGATCGGATTCTATCCTAGGGATATAGCATCCCTCCCATACCTAGTGGGGTCATAAAGGCATCTTTGATGCTTTCCTTCTGTTTACCTGCTCCCTTCGCAGTCTTTTTGCCGAAAGCCAGGGGATCATTTTCGTCGTTCAATGGGATCTTGAATGGCGTTTTGGGTGCTCGCGTTCCGGGCGTCTTCGGCTGTAGGTGTCTCAAGCCCTGATTCAAGGGTTTTGATGCGGCGACCGTTTGATGGCTATGCACCAGGTTCTCTTGGTCGCGAAGAGCCAACATGGCGGCGGCTTACGAGTCACAACAACGCATTCAAAGGCGATAGACCGGATCGGGGCGAATTTGTCGAAGTGTCGAATTCGAAGACCCTTGCCAGCGACGAGTCTGGAGCAAGAGATGGCTGTCCAGCAGTAGAAGTGGTTCTAGACGCGGACATGACGAACAGCCAGGATGGGGGGAAAGGGTGTTTGCGAGGCGGTTGCCCGTGGAGACCAGGCTGGTGAAAGGGGAAAGCCACACAGTGGTTCTACGGTCGCTTGCCCGTCAGCCACGGCCCCTATACCAGATCGGCTAAGACCCAACCCGCTAGTTGTGCTAGCGGCTGACCGCCAGCGCCAGGCCAGAAAGTCAACCTTACCTTAAGGCCTCCTCCTCCACTTCTCTTTCTTTCCTCCCTATTATTCCCATCTGTCCAAACTATCTTCTTGCATCAGTCACATCTCTGTCCTCTTTCCCTGGTTTCTCGCTGAGCGAAAGCCCGTTGTTGCTGTTACATCCTACTCTCTTCCACTCCGTACATATTTCCTCGTTGCAAATAACTTACTCAAAATGGATAAGATTAAGGAGGTGAGTGTCAACCCTTTCCCCTCTTACCCCCCTCCCCCCCTGTTGGCGGGGTAGCTTTCAAGTTGCTGTCCCGATAGTCCACATGCACACCACCTTTTGTCCTTGCCCCAACATCTTGATCCTGCATATATCTGCTGCAGTGTATTCCTCATAATAGGAAAAAGCAAAATAAACTTTCCCTGAGATGCACACTAACCTTGGCCGATCTAGAGAATGAACAACCTCCGCCTGGAGGCCGAGGAGGCTCAAGAGAAGGTCGAAGAACTCAAGACCAAGGTGAAGACGTTGGAGCAGGAGAACCTGGCCAAGGAGCAGGAAATTACATCCCTCAACCACCGGAACCAGCTTCTGGAGGGTGAGGTGGAGAAGCTTGAGACTGCCCTGAAGGAGGCCAAGGACGCTGCCAACCAGGGTGCTCAGCACGATACCCAGAACGAAGCTCTCCAGAGACGTCTCCAGCTTCTGGAAGAGGAGGCTGAGGATGCCGACAAGAACCTGCGCGAGACGAACGAGAAGTATGTGCTACCTATACCTTTTGCCTATTTAGATGAAAGGAGGTTGATGCTGACTACGCTGGTACTTCAAGGCTCCGCCAAACCGACGTCAAGGCTGGTCACTACGAGCGCAAGGTGCAGGCCCTCGAAGCGTCTCGCGACCAATGGGAGAGCAAGTATGAGGAGATGGCTAAGAAGTACGCCGAGCTGCAGAAGGATCTCCACGAGCTCGAGGTTTCCATTAGCAATGTCTAAAAGGCCAGGGTGGCGCAGATTACCGGCAACAGGGGGCCCCAGCTTTTTTTTTTCCCACATATACTATCCTTTTAGCTTTCTATCCCTGCACACCACAGCCTGATTTCTTTCGTTCCTGTCGGCAGGAAGCGGCTTTGGCAGTCTCTGTCCGTCTTGTCATCTAGCTGGCTTTGTTATCGTTCCCATCAACCGGTTTTCCGCTCGTCCTCGCAACCTTGTCTATTCTTCCACTCGACGTCAAACATTTTCATCGTTGCCAGAAGGTACATAGAGTATATTTAATAGGAGTGTCCATGTGCATTATCACCATCTGTTGATTCAATTCAAGTCAATTCCATGGAATTCATGATCGCTCGCGTCGGGCGTTCGCCTTCCTCGATTTGGATGCGCGCTCCTTCATTCTGGTTACCTTGCGCTCTTCCTTGCTTTCGTAACGGAACTTTTTCTTCTTCTTCTTGGGCTTGTTGTCCGACTTTCGCTTCTTGCTTTGTTCGCCAGAGGGGTTGGGTTCGGCAGTTGCTTTGGAGGCTGACTCCGAATCTTCGTTTTCGATGTCTGATTCGTCGACCGCTGATCGCAGAAGTCCTTCCTTAGAAGTATCCATTTCCTCTACCGTCACCGTCGTATATTTGTCTTCGTCGATATATTCAGCTTCGTAGTCGACGGCCGGGGGTTCCGTGAAGCCCTCCCAATCCTGGTCCTCGACGTCCTCGTCCTGGCTGTCCTGATCAGAGCCATCGCTGCCGTCTTCCGCTGCCTGCAGCTTTTTGAGCTGTCTCTGATGTTCTTCGATTGCACGTTGAAAGCCAGCAGTTCGTTCTTCCCGAATCTGAGTAGACATTACAGTTAGCATTGGTTGAGCGACCTTCCACGGCAATTTGACATAGGCATAAGAATCCTTACCCTCTTGCGCTCGTCTCTCTTCATCTCTTTCGCTTTCTTGATTGCCACTTCTTGTGCATGTTTGATTCTTTGTTGCTTCCGCTTGCGAAAGCCTGTGAGAAATGATTCACGGTCAGCAGCGTCGAAGTTGATCTCCTCGACTTTGCTGGCGACCTTTCTTCTTTTGGCTTGAGGGCCCATTCTCGTGGAAGGGTATGGGTGTGGCAATCGGAGGAATATTGTTAATGTATAGCGAAATATAAAAGATTAAAGTGATTTTAATTTTTCAGAGCATGCGCACCGGAGTGACCGTTCGATATTTCCGTGGGGGAAAATTGCGATCTAAAGCCCGGCATGTAAATTGTAAAGGAGGCTAAATAGTGCCCGTGCCGAAGTCGACCGCCTCCGAGCCGGCGGGCCATCACACCTGGCTCTAACATCATTCATTCAGCTGGGGTTCTTCCGGAGAGCACTGCATCTATTTGGTTAACTATATTCACCCAACCATCATGCGCTTGGGAACTCTATCATTGCTCGCTCTGGGAGCGACTACAACTAGCGCCTTCCATGATACTTCTCCCTTTTTCCTAGCATCGACTTCGGAGTATGCACACCCAAGCTTGCGCGCAGGCGAACCTTCAGTCTCCGAAGAACGAGCCAGCTAATAGCTCCATTAGGAATCTTTCTATCTCAGCACAGCTTAAGACTGCTTCTTCGCTACTGGAGGATCTTTCCTCGAAGCTTTCTGGCTGTCCTTCCGACTACTATGTTATCGCTTCCCAACCTGGCGTCCACAGCAACGACTTCTCTACACTCAAGTCCGCACCCCGCCTCGGCGCGAAATTGACTGGCAAGGATCATACCATCCGCTCGAAGACGATCATAAACGAAGTTGTTGGAGTTCTAGAAGCAAGGAAGGTGCAAGAACTATTAGAAGCAGAGTGTGGAGCTCAATCTACCATCATTGATGCCTCCTGTAAGTACCCCGATCTGAGCAAGCTGCACAGGACAGCTCGGGCTAACTTTCTGTCTCTTAGCTGGCATTTACTCCCCCGACTTTGGCGCTGAGCCCCGTGTGATCCGCCTCGACTTTCCTGTGCTTCCCCAGGGATCTGATCGCCGCCTCCAGCTTTCCGATAATGGTCTGTACCCAAGCAATTTCACTTTGACCCTCTTCCGAAAACACGGTGCTAAAAGCTTTGATAGATGGCCTTCTCTCCGACATCATCGAACGGCTGCCGTATTCCAAGACGTACACTATTCTTTACATCACTTCGCCTAAGGAAACATTGAGCTCTGATATCGGTGTTTACGAATCTGAGGATGCTTCCTACCAGGACCCCCTCCACATGGATTTGAAGCGGGACTTCTCGGCACATGGTCTTGAGGACGATGCTCCCTCAAACAAGACGCTTTTCCGCGAATACCACTATTTCACTCCAGGTATGTGTAGAGTGCCCCAGGCCATGAATCACCCCGATCTGACAGCAAATAGGCATCATTATGGGGCTGATGGCCTCCCTTTTCTGTATTCTGATCTTGTATGTTGGTCTCAGTGCTCTCCTGAGCCTCGAGGTTCCGTACGCGGCGTTTGAGAAGGACATCTCCGCCAGTGTGCAGAAGAAACAGCAATGATTTGTTCGTGATCTCTTGCGGAAGACCTTGCTTGAACGTGTCTAGCTTTTTGGTTTTGTTCTTTTAAGCACAATATATCTTGTTTTTGAGATTCACTGCATATTTGTATGCTGGCGTTTCATCTTCTTTATGCGATAAATCATGATGCTGTACGGAGTGTGATGTATGCTATATTTGGGTGCATGTCCCTGGATCTGGATGTTATCGATAATAGTCACGTGGTTAGATGGAATGCGGGCATTTGGAGGCCAAGGGGCGATTACGGTTTATCTCAATTTGATAACCACTTGATACTTGGACTTGTCGTTTCCTGGTCTTGCTAGCGCATCAGAACTCCTACTCCTACTTAAACTAATTACCCGCAGATTCACAAATAGCCATAAATAGCCCCCTGTATCTCCATCACGTGAGAGCCTAAGGCAGGGAGGGGAGCCGGTCCAGACGGAGCACGGGGCAACCCACCCGTATTCATATTGCCTCTTCTTTTCTCTGCTGATTATGTGTTGTCGTTGCACTTGTGTATCGTGATTTTCTACTGCGCTCACTCGCTTGTCCATATCCCTTGTCTTTCGCTACTCAGCATGGCTCTTTACTGATATTACCGTCGAGTCTCTGCATAGTCGTTCGTTAAGGCTGCTGAACGATCCGATCTTGTTCGCTTCTTTGCTGATCTTGGACCCTCTTCTGCTGGGTGGAGACTGGCCTGATAGTGCTCCCCCTCATCCCCGTCGTGTGTCTGGAGACAGCTGCTGTTGATGCGATCTGTCTGCAGAAACATTCGCTCTCGTATACTTGTCGTGGCTATGCCCAGTTACGTTCTGCGCTAGTCATTCAACGCACTAATCGACGTCGCGCCCTAAACAAGATCTACCTCTTAGCAGTTTGCGATTGCCACCAACAGTCATGGTTGCTTTGTTCAAGGGCGTTGGGAGAGCCCACCGGCCTTCTTTTACTCTACTTTTTGTGTTGTTCGTTATGCTTGTTGCTCAAATCTCCGTAGCCCAAGATGCGACCACGGATGATAATACTACAACCACCGCAAGTGTGAGCTCGACTACAACTTCATCATCGTCATCGTTATCGTCGTCATCGTCGTCATCGTCGACGTCGACAAGCACTACCACTAGCTCGTCGAAGAGCAGCTCCACGACATCGGCCCCGACGACATCAACTGGTACAGATACCTCATCCACGTCGACTACATCGGCATCCTCGTCCTCCTCAACAGATGGTTATCCCATCGTCACTGTGCCACCAACTGCAGATGCGCCATATATGCAAAAGTCCAACATCCCCGAGGGTACGCTATTCATCGCCGTGGGAGCAGTTCTGGGAGCCATTGGGCTTGCTATTCTAGCATGGCGGGGCATAGTTGCATGGTCTGTGAACCGCTCTGTGCGCCAAGCCGCAATGACGCGCTCGTCCGAATCAAAGGGCCTTTTGCGTTCGAAGAGAAGAAAGTCGCGCACTAGAAGATCCTCTTCCGCGGGACCTGGCGTCGCCCTCGACAAGCTTGGTGGAGCTGGAACTCACCAGCATCACCGTCACAGCCACCACAGCCACCGACAACACCGAACCTCCAAGGGCCCCAGTGCCAACAGCGGGCTCTTCTTCTCACCAACCGCCGGGATGCAACACGGGAGCGGAAACCGCCGTTCGAGCTACCTTCCGGCGGGTTACTACAATGCCAACAACGTGGGAACCACTCCCGGCACTCAAGACGCACGTTACTCAGCTGCCGACCTGACGGGGCTGGGGGGTCCTCAAGCGCAGGGCTACGCCCCGACCAGATCCGGGCCCAGTCCCCCCGAATCCCCGGGTCTGCCCCTGTATCACGATCAACAGGATACCCCTCCTCGTCGCAACGCCAGAAGGTCTCACGTCGAAGCTTCCACTAGCACTCTGAATCTAGCTTCCCCGCCAGCGGGAAGAACCCCCAGCGCATATTTGGAAGATCTGTTCGATAGTCATCCGCCTCAAAACCGGGACTGATCTGTTTTGCAAACTGGATGGCTGAATGTTCGTACCTACTGTCTACATTCTCCCAACACGCATCTTTTCAGTTTGGTTCTAGGAATCTCAGTTCGGCCCCTTTTTTCTATTTCTGTGTGCATCTAGTATATTACCCTGTGTCTAAAGTCACGTGGCATTCCTTCACTTCTGTTGTGTCTAGTATAAAGTTTCTATCCTCGAACATAGTCGAATTGTCTAATAGCAAATCATGATGGAGTAATCACTGCATATCCTCGAACATAGTCGAATTGTCTAATAGCAAATCATGATGGAGTAATCACTGCATATCCTCTCAGCAAACCGCTCTGTACTCAATTACCCGCCGGAGTAAGCAGGTATTTGGAAAACGTCCGACTATTCCATAGTAGTCATCTGTGGGTTCGAGAGGTGTTTGGCACGCCTTTCTACTGCGGGTTGGTATGGTATCACCTGACGGCCACTGCGGTATCATCTTACTACAACGGGTTTAAGAATGGAAGGCATCACGTGCTGTGTTCCAGGATGGGAGAACAAGACTCACAATCACATGGTATCCTAATGCGGGTATGCGGGCCGCAGAGGCAAGGGAATCAAGACTACGACACACGGGAGCGTGTGGAAGATTCAAAACTTAGAACGTCTATAGATTATACAATATATACGAGGCGAGCACGATCTAAAAAGCGCCTACGCCGGATTGATCAGTCCGCATCCAGCTTACCGCTGAACTCGGCGAGCAGAATATCATCCGGAGCTGGGCCGCGGCTGTTCCTGACTGTCGTGCCGCAAGGTTAGCCGGGCGTCACACAAAGTAAAGAAAACGTGGTGAAAGCAGGGAACTTACTCCACTCGGTCTCTATGCGGAGGAAGATCCACATCCATCGGCGTACGACCTCGAGAAACATGAGGACAAAAATTCCGAATTCCGTGTCACTTAGCCAGACGAGACCTGGCACATATCGCGCGAGCCACGAGAAGCGGATGGCGAAGTCGATGCCAACGGCAAGGTAGTACTGACGATCAGCGAAGAACCGGTGGCGACGGAGGCCAAACGGATATTCTGGACTGTCGCGTAAGGGCGACAAAAGGGTCAGGTCCCAATCCTTGGTGACGTCCCAGTAGAATGAATATGCAGAGTTGGTCAGAGCGCAGAGAAACCTAGTGACGTGAGGACATTAGCCTCCAACTGCTTAATCTGCAAGTCAGGCGATTAGAAATACTTACAAAAGTCGTGAGAGACCGGTCTCGCTGAATCCATAGAACTCCAGAGGGTTGTAGTTCTTCAATTTTGCCGTGAGCATGATGACAGGAAATGCGGTAGCGTATTTCAATGCGTTAGCCAGATGTTGGCCCCCCGTGTTCCCATTCTTGTGACTACCTTGCCATACGCGGAAGTATTCGATGAGACACTGACGTAGTCGGATCATACTGGGAATGGAGATGACAAGTGGAATAAGGTAGCCGTTCCCACATTTGCGGTTCGGTTTCGATGTACTGCCCAGATCCCCGGTAAAGAACATGCAGAAGGAGACAACCAGATCTCCTAGGACTTTGGAGTAGCTTGTCAAGGCATCAGCCAGGAGAATGTCCCCAAACTTGCCATCTTGGGGCTGCGCCAATCCACCAACACAAATGCGCTTCAAAGTAGTGAACAGGCGGAATCGGCCCGAGCGCGCAACCCGTATGAAGGGTTGAATCAGAATGATCCCGGCAATGAAGAAGTATGATTGCGGGATGTAATCCAACGACTCGACACGTTGTCTGGAACCGTGGGTGACAGGCCAGAAGATGAGAAGGGAGATCACGAGAGGGATGGTCAGGAGAGTGGCTAAGCGGTAGGCGGAGGCGTAATGAGGTGGGTGGTTAGCGGACTGGCGGTGGGGGTATCGAATGAGAGAGGGAACGTCCTGGAGGATATTAGACAAGTGTCACGAGAAGGACTAGGATAGAATGAGGGGGGGGGGGGTTTAACCCACAATATTCGCTTTTGAGAGATACTGCAGATTGGCACCCCATCCCCAAAACCCTGTCAACAGCAATTAACAACGATCAGACAGGGTTGAAGATAAGAGAGCAATTAATATCGAACAATTAGCATACCAGCCAGTAAGATTACCGCCACACGCGAGGGAAAGGGAAGGAATAGACTGAAGCCATCCAATTGAGCATGTTGATCAGGACCCATATTCCATTGAAGTAGCGGGACCGGTTTCTGTTAGCAGCACCTGGGGACTGCGAAATAGGGAGATCAGGTCGAGGACTGGGGGTGGTTGCAAGGGAAGTAGATCCCGAAAAAGAGAATGGGAAAGCCAGCAAGATATGGAAGCAGAGGAGGAGGGGGAGAAGAAAAGAAGAAGAGGAGGAGGAGGAAGAGAATCGCCGTCAGAGAGGTACTCAGGGTGAGTTTGACGAGCACGAATACTCAATCACTCCGTCAATTCAATCATGACCGACCCGCAAGTGTGAACCTCACTCAAGACCAGACAAAAAGAAGCTCAGGGACGGTTTCAGTCTTGACTGACCAGCGGCTCCGCGCGGCTTTCTCGGGTTTAGGATGCGTCCTGGTCCCGCTTTCGGTCTAGCGGCGCTTCTTGGCGCTGGCTTCCAATTTTGGCTGCAGCTTTCAGTCACGTGAGCACTACCGAGGTATCTTTCAATCTTTCAACAATCTACCACTCCGTACTGTACATACAGTACTTGGGCCGGGCGGAGCTCCGCGACAACTACTAAACCCAACATCCAAAGCGAAGCTTATGACTTCTCCCTTCTTAACTCCTTGATTATCTAGCCTCTCTCCTCCTCGCGCTCTGCTCTACGGATTTCACATTGTTTATCGTCCTCCTTGTTCGCGCTTCTCACAATGGCGGACGAAGATCTCTCAATAGCCACCGCCTCGGCTCCGACTACGTCCATACGTCCCTCGGGCCACTTCTACCCTTTCGCGACCTCGCCAGACATCATCCGCTCTCACGAGAAGGATGTCTTTCTCTCCGCGAGCTTGACCAATCAAGCCCAATCCATCGCCCGTTCCCTTCGTGGGGCACGATTCGCCCATACGCACTCCGAGGCCATCAAACGACTGACCGAGACCCTGTATTTCTCCCTCACCACCTTGATCGGGAATCGGACGTTGGGTGAGGAATACTGTGACCTGGTCCAGTTGGAGGACGATACACTACAACTCCCTTCCCTCCCCCGGCGGGTCGGATACATCCTCAGCAGCATCCTGCTCCCGTGGGTGCTTCAGCGGATCCTCCCCGCATTCCGACAGCGATTGCGAGCCAAACTCGAACGTAGTGTTGCCCGCCAGCAGGTCAAGAACGCCCAGACCAAGAGCACGCGAGACAATCCGCACAGCCAATCGGGCTCTGTCTTCACTAAGCTGCGGATCCAGCGATATATCCTGGAGCACCTCGACTCCATCACGTCGCTGTCGCCCATTTACGCTATCAGTATCGCGACCTTTTATTTCACCGGCGCCTACTACCACCTCGCAAAGCGCTTCTGGGGCCTGCGTTATATTTTCACCAAGAAGATCAACGAGAACGAGCAGCGGGTAGGCTACGAGGTCCTGGGCGTGCTTCTCGTACTGCAGATCGCAGTGCAGGGAGTCCTGCACATCAAGAAGGTGGCGGCCGGCCTGCAGCAGGAGGACCAGGGCCGTCAAGCAGCGGACGCTGGAGCGGCTGGCGGTCAAGGCGATAAGGCGATAACCTCCGTTGAAAATCCGTCGTCGCTTCCGCTTTTGCCCGCTAGCCGTGCCCGGTACGACTTCGCCGAGGACCCGAACGCGGTCCCTTGGATACCTGCCGGCCAACAGCGCAAGTGTACCCTGTGTCTAGAGTTGTTCAAAGATCCGAGTGCTACCACTTGCGGTCATGTGTTCTGTTGGACATGTGTTCGAGACTGGGTACGCGAGAAGCCAGAGTGCCCGCTCTGCCGCCAGGAGGTCCCCCTGTCTAAAGTGCTACCGTTGAGAGGGTAGTACTAGTCCCAGAGGCGTCCCACCTAGTCCCGTCGCATACTGCTTTCTTGGCATGTTTCAGCGTTGCAATTTGCTTGTTTCAAATATACCCTTTCAATTTAGAGATATATTTTGACAGTTCCTGCCTGGATCGCAGCCACCTGTCAAAGGCCTGGCTCACCTCTATATATATCTCAACACTTCGTAGAAAATCCCACATCCCTCTCTAATATAAGTTCAAGGGACGTATTGCGTCTATAGCTCCATTTTCAAAGGCTAACAGTAATTGGGATCAGAGTATACTGATGTGACGGGCAAATATTGCAAATGCACATCCCAGACATGTTGCGGTGGGAGGCACTGGGTTGTTTTCGAAAAGAGGAACCGTATTAGCCCCCTCGATATTTATATATAGACTCATATAATTAGACGGTACACTTTGAGTCTTCCGGAGCATCCCCGAGTTGCACTACTTCGACCTCTTCCAAGTCAGCAGTGACAGGCGCTTTGCACACAACCCGGATCGGTATATTCAGTTCGGCGTGGGCAGGAAGAGGCGGCGTTGGGTTCAGCGCTTGTCGTTTGGCATCCATCTTGTCATATAAGCAGACGCATGCGTATGGGTCGGACGCAGCATCTATCCAGAGCCCCCGTCAGCTATTTGCAAGTCTTGGGGAAATGATCAAGGGCACTCACATTGGACCTGGCGATAATTCAAGGTCGCTGTCCACTCGCTGCACCGCACGGTTTCTTCTTTCTGCAAGGGTAGTCCGAAATGCTCCTCCACCTGCTCACTCAGATTGACAAGGCGCTTGTTGATCAGTTTGGGATTCGATTGGCAGTACTTGATCAGCTTGTGAAGATGGCTAAGCTCGAAGATCCCGTGCGCATCTATCTGGAGATACTTTCGGAGACGGGTGCAGTCCGCTTTGATGGAAACGCCAGCTTTCGTGATAGCTGGATCTTCGATGATGCGCTTCAGCGTCGGTGGTACAAGATCGGCGATACCTCTTGCCGGCTTGAACAGTGCCACGTGAAAGAGCGCGATGCGGTGTCGGTTCGCAATCTGGATCAGCGAAATGTTGTCTTGGATGCGGTCCCATGCCGAAGCCGAGGCCTTCCATTCCAGGTCAAGCCCAATAATATCATCCTCTACAAAAAGCTGTGCGATATCCTCGCTACTTTTCAAGCTCCTGCAATAGTGCACCACAATGTCTTTCCCTTCCGGGCTCTTTTGTAGTTTGTGGCTCCAGAACTCCGGGTTTATGGGGTTCCTGGCTGTGTCCTTTTGAAGCGGTTGGGGTGCAAAGTGACTCTTGATCGAACTCATGGGGCTGCTACTGGTCTGTTCAACTGGCGCGGATGACCCTTTCTGAGGACCCTTGAATAAATTCGATGCCTCTGGATTCTGCAAGGTTCCGAGCGGCCCAGGATCTGAGGCGATCAATGTATTTGAGCTATATGATCGCCTCATCTCTCCCAGGCAGGTTCTCTTGGGCTTTGGCCCCTGATGGTTCCACACCCCTCTCCGAGACACGGAAGAGGCACCTGACGGCACCTTAAATGAGCCCTGGGCTCCATTGGGAGAGGCTGAAGGTCGATGAAATATGTCAAACCATGGCAGGGTCCTGCGTCGCTTGGAGCCACTAGTCTCTGGTCGAGAGTCCATGGTCAAGGCTGGCTTCGCCGATGCGGCGTAGAATCTGCCAATATGGACGCTTAGTCCTGGCTGCTGGCTCGGGGCGCACGGCCTGCGTAGCGACCTTGAGCTTGCCGCCAAAAACGCCAGATCTGGCGATGTAAACCTGTGTTTACGGTCAATCGGGTTCCATGATACGAGTAGAGGAAGGGTGCGACTTACCGTGTAAGTGCCGACGCAGTGACAAGCATCTTATGGGTCCAAAAGGCTAAAGAATGTGGAAATGCTGTCCATGCGCGGTTCCAGTTTTGTCCCTTGTGATAGCAGGGCGCTTGGTGCGTGGTAAGAGGATTTAGACGAGGCTCAACCCGATCATGCCCTTGAGCTTCAGTCAACCAAGAAATTCCAAGAGGGAACTGAAATCTCAGCTCGTTACATTGAAAATAGCGGTGTCCAAAGACACGTTGATTGCTTCCATGAAAGTCGGTAAAATAGGGTACCTGAAGAACTCAGGTGGTGTACAGTAATGAAAACAGGCCGCGGCACGGTGCTGTTAGTCAACTTTCTACTCTATCTGATTGGGTCGAGTGAGCGGGCCGGATAAACGAGAGTTCCAGCGAAGATGCCAAGATTGTCTGGATGGATTCATCACTGACCGTTTCCGCCCACCGCGTCAGTTTCTAGATCAAGTATCTTGTACTCCTGTTGTACTGTGAAAGCCCTCAAAGACTTTCATTTTTTTATTTGCTCTCTTCTTCTCTCAGGTCTTCTTGAGCTTTGTATCAACTCTTTTTCGGTCTAGTATCACTGTTGGCCGAAACCTCTCACAATGGCTTCTCAACTTCTTCCTCTTGGTAATTCACTGCATCATATGAATATACAGTAACATGACCGTGCTAACCCTCGGACTAGAGCTGATCGACAAGTGTGTCGGCTCCAGAATCTGGGTTATCATGAAGAATGATAAGGGTTGGTGCTGGCAACCTCTTTTCTTCCCGGAAGGCAGAATCATTAACTTCTTATCGAACAGAGTTCTCTGGTACATTGCTGGGATTCGATGACTACGTCAGTAAGTGGTCAAGTTCGCTCCTGCTCTGCTAGTATCAATAATCTAATTTCGCTTTTAGACATGGTTTTGGAAGACGTGACAGAATTGTAAGTATCTTCGACTACGTATCATGCTCTGGCTACATCATGCCATCGCATTAGATCGCCCTGCAACCACCAAAATTTGGTCCGATCTTCGTACTAATCGCTATCAGTGACTACTCTGGCGCGCAAGTCAAACTTCCTAAGATATTGCTCAATGGCAATAACGTTTGCATGGTGCGAGCCCTTCCTGCGTTCGTGTCCACCAAGCTAACAAGTCTGCTCAGTTGATTCCTGGAGGCGAAGGGCCAGTTGGTAGCTCATGAACCTCATGATATTCACGATGTTTCAAGCTTTGTTTCAATTATCCAATGAATATTGATGACTGTATTCCAATCATGTCTTTGTGGCCAATAGCTTCGCAGGGCGTTCTTCATCCCTCCATCCAGTCACGAGGGAATCTGTCTCCTATTTCTTCCCGGCGTACAATCGATGGGCAGATGCAAGAATTATGGCAGATCAAGATGACCTTCTCCAAAAGGTACATGCCTATCAATTCGGCGAAGAATACAAGCACGGGGCCGTTAGTCTTCACATCGGTGTGAGATCGGGTCAGAATGCTCTTCATGTGGCATCGACGCGCCTGGATAAGATTTTTTTTTTGGATCAGTATACAATTAACCAGCATTTTGGAGCATGGCCTGATTCGGTGCTTGCTCAATTAACTTGCTGACTTGATGAAACCACGCTACCATTGTCCGAATCCTTCTAGATTTGGGAGCAACCTGTTCATCCATAAATAGTCGATACTCGTATACTTGAAGTGCATCAAGCATCCGAAAACTCTTCAAATCACCCGGTTTCACTAGGGCCCAGTCCAGTCTTTATGCAATGACAGGACCCGCGCCGAGATTGAGATTCAGTTCCTTTGCGATCAATCGCCGGAAAATGCACTTCATTTGCTCTTTGTCTTCAATCGACTTTCGTTGGCACGGGCTCATGAAGGGAGTAGAGATGAGAGTGCTGGGCTGCGGTCGATATATTATCTATTAGGCGGCTACTAACTTACTGCCTGCAAGTTCAGCGAGAGCGACTTCGAAACGAGGCAAAAGGAAGCATGAGGGGAGAAGGAGGCATGACATCATGGATGGTTTAGTCTTCCGCCTTCGATAGCCAAGACGAGAAATTAAGCCGACGAATGAGTGATGTCCGGATACGATGGATAGATCATAATTTATTATTCAAGCAACTAGATGAACATCCATAAGAGTGGCTGATGCCGTTGTGGTCAGTCCCTGAGAGCGTCCAAGAATCCATCTTCGTATCGCGAGTGGACCAGACCCAGTGCATGCTGCAGAAGAAAGAAGTGACCACGGAGAGATTCTTGGGAGCGAAGTGTCAGCTACCCCAGATATCTCCCACCGACTGGGGCCGAGTGGAAACTGTTAGGTAATAGCTTCGGCTCTTTCCCCGCATTTTCACCATTGCCCGCCCGCCCGCACGCATTAAGGAGATAACCCTAAATGGCCTTCTGTCTGTCCCCAAACTCAACGTCGGACGAATTTGAATGATGGCAAACTGGGAAGTGAAAAGTGAAACGGCGACTCCGAAACCGATCGGGGGTGGCCCGACATCGGTTCAAGTGCAAAGGGCTAAATCGCTCGCCGGTTCTCGGTGCTAGAGGTCAAGACCGCCCAGTTGCAGGTCCCAACAACGACCGGCCGCATGGGCTGATAGCTAGTGTCAGTATCTATCATGCTTACTCATGACTGTGGTTGCATAGCTTGCATTGGCTAGCGAGCTTATATCATCTATGTTAACGTTACGGAGTAGTTAACTAGTTAGTTGAATAGACTGCGCGGAGGGATGCAGCCATCAGGGGAGGGTCAGGTTGCTCGGAGGAATTCGCGATTGATCATTGGCTTTCGGGGATGCCGCAGGCTCCGTTGCCCGGGCTGGTTCAGTGTGAAGGTGACATCGCGCGAAAGTATACCAGGGCCAAGGGACCGACCACCCAGGGTGTGGTAAGTTTTGTGTGTATTTCCACAGATGGCTAGACTCAGATTGAGACCCTGCTAGTATCTCCCTTTCTTTTTTTCGCGTCACAATGAAAATAGGCGGCGAATTTACCTGTCTTTGTGCAGCCGTTGTGTCGTTCGCCAAAAGTTAGTATTTAGCCATGCTGTCCACAATTGCTCCTCTTTCTTCACGTGCCGAATATCCCAGCATTAGGACCCGCCACCAACCCGTTTTCTTGTGAGACTACATGTCTCAGTCGGCCGGGTATACTGCAACAGTGTAAGGCTGATGTTCTTGGCTGCGAGCATCACGTATGGGTCAATATGCAAGACCGGCTACCTAGCGAAAGGCAGCCTGATACCCGGCCCGGTCCTGTAGTTGCGATGATTTGCTCGATCTCATCATCAATCTGGCGTCCTAGCTGCCCTAATAACGCTACAAGACGAGCAAAAACCTAGCTAGGCGTGTCTCCGTTGACTTCATCCTCCAAAAGGAACTCGGGAAATGAGTCGAGCGGATATTTACGGTTGCGTTACGAGGGGTGGAGGGAGCAAGGTCACACCATCCTCAGTTTCGTTCCTTTCATGGTTTGGCCAGATGAGTGTAACGCCACCCATGCACAAGTGGGATGTTTTGCTCAAAGAGCCACAGCAGCAATACTGAGCGACAGTTGGGTTGCCTGCCGTGAGCAAGTCAACCCTGGCCGCGGGAGAAGGATTCTACTCCGTAGTAGGTTCGCACTAAACCTTCTCTGCATTGACCTCCGTCGCCATGACGGGGGGAAGTGTGCGAATCGACTTCCAGCTTAGGCGACTTTTTGCTGGAACAGGGTTCGCGACAAGACAGACTCGATCCTTTCGGAGCCCTTCGAGAGCTTCGAGAAGAAAGCGAAGAAGACCATTGGAAGGAAAGGTGGAAGGTGGTGGCAGTCACCACGCAGGGAGGTATCCGTTGTACTCCGTAGATCTACAGAGGTACTCCGTACCTGTATCTGGATTGCCACAATGGAGTGTACGTCAGCCACCCGCAGCGACCCTACGCCTCTGATCGCATTTCTGGCGTTGGTGAAGATCCCCTCACAGGAGGCAACATACACAAAGATACTGATGTCTGTTTACTATGTACTGTTCATTGTACAATGGTGATGCAATAGTACGAAAATCAAGGCAACATGTACAAACAGCTCTCTGCTGGATGTGGCAGAATGGACTGCAGTCCACAGTCCTAGACTCAAGAGATGAGCACCAGGCCATTGACTGACCGATCTCTAAGAGAAACGAGGCCAGCCTCTCATCATATGCGTCTTAGCTCCTTGATTGGCTCTCGCTTCGCTGCGTGAATTTAATCTCGGGAGGCAGCTGCATGCCTGAGGGATGAAGTCCGTTTACCGTCGGACATATTCTAGGAAGGATGAGGCGCGTCAGCACGCGACGGGGCTTCTAGACACATTCCAATGATGAGATGTGATGTAGGCATGATCTTCTATCAGGAAAAAATAAGAAAGGGAAAAGAAAATTAATTGTCAGGAAATCCAGAGATAGCGGCCATTGATAATGATAAATCCGATAGCTATCAATCACCTGCTCAGACTTCATAGATAAGAGAGACTCCACTTGATGAACCCTGGCCATGGAAGGCAAGGACTGAACTGAAACCCAACTCTACTTACTTGCAGCACACGTGTTGAAGTGTAGATAAGTTGCCTACAACTAATTCATCATAATCACACCACGATTGACTGACTTCCTCTTGTGGGTGTGTGGGTGCTTATTGGGAAGGATGAAGCCACCTTTGGCTATTGGTTCGGAAGTTCTGCACTACCAGTGGCATTGGAACCTTAAGGAGGAAGTTATTACATACGTAGTAGCTCGGAGAGGACCAGGGCTCTAGTGGCGGGATAAAGGTCAGCTGCTGTCGTTTCGGTGCTGTTTTGCATCTGAATGTGGAGCTTGGCTGAGGCTTTAATTATATTGTAGCGACTAGCCCATCCAGTGGAATTACAATACTCGAGACAATGATGAACAAGATAAACTGTACCTACCTACGGGGCATAGCAAAAGGTACGGCGTAGATTACCTACCTCGTAGTAGTAGTGGTGGCGGTGGGATACTCCGTAAATACCTACTGATAAGTCACTATGGGGATTCCGGGCGGGCTAGTCCTGGTTGGGACTAGTCGGGGTTGAAAGGCTCCCATCCCATGTTGTGTGGCTGATTGTGATTAGCAAGTCAGCTGCTGGTAACTGCGCACTTATCAATCCTAATTGTCAAGCAAAAAGTAACAGTGAATAATGCTGCAGATGGCAGCCAATCAAGATGGAGACAGGCTCAATCATAAGGTGGCAATCAACCCCGTTCATGAAATCAAGAGATCCAAAAGACTCTCCCCCAGAATATCAATCGGAAGCACCACCTACAGTGGACTAGCCATCATCAATTTAGTTAGTAGTGAAGTGAATTGACAGTAAGGCACCCTCCTGTAATCTAGCTTCCCCCAGACTGGTCCCACTTCAGAGAGTTTCCTGCCCGTTTGGCTCGGCCACATGGATGGTAGGTAGACAGGGAGGTATACCGTATCAATGCTTGCAATGGCATAATCTGGCCCACCCCTCCTCTTCCTTCTCCATGCTGATTGATGGTGGGTGATTATCTCCGAAAGCATGGAAGTCAATCAATTAGACCAGACTAACTAGGCAGGGTTCATTCACTTGTTCCATCTCACTGCGCTTTGAAGGGTGATCTTCCCCATTTAAATACTGGCTGGCATCCCATGTCAATCCATGAAGGCTTCCGAGCTTCCTGGTTCTCCCCCCTTCCCTCTCATCCTTCTTTGCACCCCCGCTGGCATTGCTCTGTTGTGATCGCAGCAGACAGACCAACGAATTGTGCCTTTGATTAGCGTGGCTCACCGCAGTGGCTCAGTAACACACATTCACTCATCGTAGCCTAGCACTCGACACGCCGGTTGCTTCTCTGCACATTTACCATCACCTTATCTTGTTTCTTCTCCTTTGCTTCCTCGACCTCAACCTCCTTTTACTGAAGGTCTCTCTACTTGTGCAATACCATACCCTTTTTTTACCCTTTCATCGATCCACATCATCAGCCATGGAGAAAGATTTCATGGAGCCGAAATATGAATCCAAACCCGAGGCCTCCTCGGCCGCCGACCCTCCGCCGTCCTATGGAGAGACCGAGACAACTAAAGGAAGTTTTGGCCAAAGAATCTGGGACAGTTTCAAGAGAGATCCTAATGCACAAGTATCGGCCGCCGAACACTCCGGTGCCGATGGATCGTCATACGATATCGAGGAAGCTGCACGGAAGACTGCTCAATCCCCCCTGCAGCGCAAGCTCAAAGGCCGTCACCTTCAGATGATCGCTATCGGTGGCTCAATTGGTATGTACCCTATACGGCTCCTGGCTCTAGCATAGATGGCTCATCTGGTCACTCAGGTACTGGTCTCTTCGTCGGATCCGGATCAGTGTTGGCTGCGGGTGGACCTGCATCAGTTCTGATTGCTTATGCGTTGATCGGCTGCATGCTTTACTGTACCGTGCACGCGCTGGGTGAAATGGCCGTTCTGTTTCCTGTCGCTGGTTCCTTCTCCCACTACTCCACTCGCTTTATCGATCCCGCCTGGGGTTTCGCTATGGGTTGGAACTATGCTCTGCAATGGTTGGTGGTCCTGCCGACCGAAATCGTCGCTGCTTCCATGACCGTCAACTACTGGAATTCGAGTATCTCGAGTGCTGCTTGGGTCGCCATCTTTTGGGTCTTGATCGTTGCAATCAACCTATTCGGTGTCAAGGGCTATGGAGAAGCTGAGTTCGTCTTCTCAATTGTCAAGGTCCTTGCGGTTATTGGCTTCATGTGAGTGATCTGAACGCATCCCCTTTACGGGTCTTTTGGGATTCGTCCGACTGACCTAAATAAGCATCCTCGGCATCATTTTGGATTGTGGTGGTGGCCCCAACGGTGGCTATATCGGTGCACGCTATTGGCATAACCCAGGCGCTTTCCACAACGGATTCAAGGGTCTTTGCAGTGTCTTCGTCAATGCCGCCTTCGCCTTCGCCGGCACTGAGCTTGTTGGTCTTGCGGCAGCCGAGACCGCCAATCCTCGCAAGTCCCTCCCGACTGCCATCAAGCAAGTGTTCTGGCGTATCACCCTGTTCTATATCTTGTCGCTTCTGATGGTCGGCTTGCTGGTCCCTTACACCGATGACATGCTTCTTAGCGGGTCATCCAGCGCCGACGCTAAGGCATCGCCCTTCGTTATCGCCATCAAGAACGCCGGTATATCTGGATTACCCTCTGTCATGAATGTTGTGATCATGATCGCCGTGCTGTCAGTTGGTAACGCCTCGGTCTACGGTTCCTCGAGAACGTTAGCAGCCCTGGCTGAACAGGGACAAGCCCCCAAGTTCCTGGGTTATATTGACCGTAAGGGTCGTCCTCTCTGGTCTCTTCTGATCGCTTCGTCGCTGGGTGCACTTGGATTCTTGGCCGCATCTTCGAAGCAGTCCGAAGCGTTCTCTTGGATGATGGCGATTTCTGGTCTCTCGTCCATCTTCACTTGGGGTTCAATCTGTTTGTGCCATATCCGCTTCCGTCGTGCTTGGAAAATACAGGGGCATAGTTTGAACGAACTCGCCTTCCGGTCTCAACCTGGATTGATCGGATCCTGGGTCGGCTTCGCTTTCAACTGCCTGGTTTTGGTAGCCCAATTCTGGGTTGGATTTGCGCCTACCGGATATGCGAGCATGTCGGCCTCGGCCTTGGTTGAAAACTTCTTCTCGGCCTACCTCGCCGCGCCTGTTGTGCTGGTGTTCTACATTCCTTACAAACTGTGGTACAAAACTCCCTTTATCCGCGCCAAAGACATGGACCTTCAAACCGGTCGCCGTGACTTGGATATTCAATATCTCATTGAGCAGGAGCAGGCCGAACAGGTGCAGTGGCCAGCTTGGAAGAAGGTTTACAAGGTTTTCTGTTAGGTTGCAGTGTTGCCAGTCAGACATTGGACTTCCATGGGCGCCTTAATATGATGATATGATAATACCTTTTGTGCCTGAAACTTGTGTACCATAGCGATAATGTTCCTTCCCCTCACTTCAGACCAGAGCATCTGGTGCGTCTCGGTGTTTAAACCATCTTCATGGTCAAATACAACTCGACTCGAAACAACATCTTGCGCATTGTACATGGGAATATGTATACATGTCTGTAAGCTGTAGAAGTGAGCAAGCGAGCGGAAAAGAAATGACCTGCTGTCGTTTTCTAAAGATGGTCATTTGAAACCCCAAAATTGAGAGAAGGTGTTCTGTTCTGTGCTGTGGTCTTGGCGGCAGGGGAAATGGTGTCTTTTTGGTCCCTCCGTCAGTAGCGAATGAACACACCGAATGTTAGTGGAGGAGGGTTGGATGCCAACCTCACTCGGGCAATGATCAGACAGCAAACTATACCTAATTATACCATGGTCACTAATTGGAAGGGGGGAGGGCCATGTGAGATTGTTGGGAAATCAATCTAAGACAACGGTAACAATTAACCGTGACGAGGTGACCAAAAATAGTAGCCACTTTTCCAACAACAGCAGAACAACATCATTACTTCCAAAACTACTAACTGACTTACTACTAGCCAGCAAAGCAACATGTGAGGGTGAGCGAGGCTGAGGAGACTGGGAGAAATAAAAAAGAAGGCGGGCGGCAATGGTCTAGTGCGGACTGTACTCCATAGTTGGTAACCAAGAGTTACGTAGACTTAGTTACAGGGCTAACGGACTGACTTAACCAGCCCTGCCCAGTCACTTTTCTTTTCTATAGGGCCTTTTTTTTTGTCAGCGTGGTTTCAGGTTGGTACGTACTCCGTATTCTTGCACTAATTAGTAGTAGTGTCGAAGACTTACATGTAATTTACCGTACATACACCGTCACCCTCCATAATGACGGATGGAGAGCCCAAGGCCCCGACCGAACCTCTTTCTTGTCTCTCTACCTTAACCTCTGGAATCTCGAAATATTCACCCCATCATCATCATCAACATCATCATTGTTTCCTCCTCCCAATTCTTGTTCTCTTTCCTTCATCTCTCCTTCCCCAGTTAAAACAATTACCTCGCTTCTAGAGCATATCACTTTTTCTTTTTTCCTCCATCTCTTCTCTCTACATTATTATCTACTGCATTACTGCTTTCCATTGGCGCTGCATTCATCCCACCTTCCCACCCCCCCGAATTCTAGGCTGTCGTCTTCTGTAGCCGCTCTCGCATACTTGCTTCCCCCCTCCCTCCCCTCTCCCCGGGCCTATGTCTCTTCGCAGCTCCTCCGTGCCACCTTAGGGATCGTTGAAACCTGCAGCTATACTGGTCGCGCTCGACCCGGTCGTTTTCTTACTCTTCTCTCTTCACTTTCTCCACGGTCCTTGTGTGCAGTTACCGTTGCGCCTCTAGTTTGTTTGACCCGGTCGCCTTCCGCTGGCGACGACGACCGATCATCTCTACAAAAAAAAAAAAAAAAAAAAAAAAAAAAAAAAAAAAGAAAGAAAGAAAGCACCTCTGCGGATCATTACAGTACCCTGGGCGAGACCAGAAAGTCCGATCTATAGCTCATCTGTCACCCGATTTCGCTTCACAATGCCTGGCTTCGCAGATTCGTTTTGGACCCCAGATTACGCCACAGGTCTGGGGGTACTTTACGGCAAACTTCAGCAGGGCGCGGTGGAAAACAAACAAATCCTGACTATTGCCTCGATGCGCGCGGACGCGGAGGACATGTATGGCTCCAAACTTGGGGACATCGCGCCGGCCGTCGACCGGGTGACACCGACAGGGTTTGCGAAGGACGATGGGGCGAGCGTGAGAAAGGTAAGCGGATCGGAGAGTTCAGGCTAGGTCTTTTCATGTCTATGCGAGTACTAATGCGGGGCTGCCATCTTCTCTGCAGGCTTATGAAGGTGTCCGCACGGAAATGGTCGAGGCGTCCAAGAACCATCAGAAAATCGCGTCCAACATCCGGGAATTGGTCGTGTCGCCGTTCCGCCGCTGGTGTGATCAACATGAGGCGCGGATACAGAACTCGCACGATGATTTGCAAGCCCGCATCAAGGAACATACGAAGCAGGTCGAATTGGTCAAGAAACTTCGGAGCCACTACTTCAACAAGTGCCGCGTCGTGGAGGATCTGGAGGAGGAGAACAAGCTTGCGTTCCAAGGTCCCGAGACCAGTCCCAAAATCAAGCCCACTCCTAAGATCGTCTTACCCGAAGAAGAAGGAGAGGAAGAAGAGCCGGTCGAAATCGGCGATCGCATTTATCCTCCCGAGGACCTTAAGAAGCTGTTGATACACATGCTGGAAACGATCAAAGTGGGCGATGTCAAAGTGCCCATCATTGGAACCTATCAGAACACATCGACCGGCGCCGACATCGTGGACTATATTCAGAAGTACCTGAACGGAACCAGCATCGGCTATTGTGAAAGAATCGGCCAGGACCTTGTCGACAGCGGCTTTCTTAGGCTCGTGGGAAACATGGGCAGCACGTTTGCCAACAGCTCTAAGATGCGCTACCAGTGGCGCCCAAAAGTCTTCCAACTCACCGGCATTCCCGAGAAGAAAAAGCCTCTGATGCGGGTTACTTCGATCGCCTCCAGCGAAGATGGCAGTGATTCCCCCCTGTCTTCTGTATCCGAGATTCTGGCCGGGTGGAACCCTCTGAATAACCCATACCCGAACGAGACACCAGCGGAAAAGTTGCGCAGGGAGGCCCGCGAGGCTGATGAACGGTACAAGGCTGCTGTGCGGCGACTTGACCTGATTAGATGCAAGCTCGAGGAGGAGATTGTTGAGAATCTGCGCTTTATGGAGCAATGTGAACTGGACCGTCTCAAGGCAATCAAAGCCGTAATCCTGGATTTCTCTGGGGCAATCAGCAATGTGATCCCTAACCTGCAGAGCACGGTGGATCACATGATGCTGTACCAGGAGACTATCCAGCCCCTCGGAGATCTTCGATACCTGCTGGAGAATTACCGGACTGGCGGTTTCGTCCCCCGCGTACAGGCTTACGAGAACTACTATGGCTCCGTGGAAGGTATGTAGAAGACCCGTTATCCTTACAAGCGTCTGGGCAGCTGAAATCTAATCTGCATCTAGATCAGAACTTTGGTGTTGATCTCGAGGCTAGAGCAAGAGCCGATCGCAAGCGGGTTCCAATTATTGTAACGACTATCCTCACTTATCTTGACAACCGTAAGAGCGCCACAGTATTGAGATCGTTCTCTTAAAACCGACTGACCATACAATATAGGCTATCCTGAATTGGAGGGTGACGAGGCACGACGTGCGATATGGCTTTATGATGTACCTTTAGCGGCAACGCACCATCTGCGGGATGCATTGAACAACAGCAAAGCGGACTATAACGAAGTGCTCGAGAAATACGAGATTCCTATCATTGCCAGCGTCTTGAAGTTATATCTCCTTGAATTGCCAGGTTCGTGTCCATCTCGTCCCACCTTCTGATTCGCATTAACACGAATCAGATTCGCTCGTTTCGTCTCAAGTTTATGAAATTGTTAAGACGATTTATTCCACCACTGCCCATGAGACCACAGAGGAAGGCCGCATCAAGGTCCTTCAAAGCACACTTGGCCAACTCCGTCTCAACAACATCGCCACACTTGACGCCATTATGACCCACTTCACGCGTTTGATAGACCTGACGTCTGCCGACGAAGCTTATATATCTTCTCTTGCCCAAGCGCTTTCTCCCTGCGTTCTCCGCCCCCGCACGGAGAGTAGCCTTACGATGAACGAGCGCCATAGCTATCGCCTAATTCGTGACTTGTTCGCTCACAAAGATGCCATTTTCGGCGAGCTTAAGCGCCAATCGAGCGCTCTCGGGATAAGTGGCACCAGCAATCGTCCCCGTGCCATTAGCACCGATGAGAGCAATCGACGCGCGGCCATGGAAGCGCGGAACCGCGCCATTGTCGACCGCAGTCGCGCCCACAGCCCCAACCCCCCACGGAAGCACCGTCGGGATCGTTCTAGCGGTGCTTCCGAGGCCGGGCGTTTCCCCGTCAACGTCACGAGCCCTACCGAGCGGAGAACCAATCTCCGTAATAGCCTCGACGTTCCCACCAATGTGGAATCCCCTACGGCTGCAGAGAAACTGAGCAGCGTGAACATCGACAACTCAGAGGCCTCTGAGCCCAACGGTGCTGCGGATGACTCTCCCGCTGTCAGTGCCAGCTCCGGATCTGGAACTTCGAGTCCGCCTCCAGTCGCAGGATCGGATGGATCCATGAGTCCCGTGACCGCTGCCACGCCCACCCAGGAATCCGAAAAGCGCACTTCAATCCCCCTCTCCAGTGTCATGTTCAACCGCAAACCCGGCCTTGGCAACCGGTCCAGCTTTCCCATCGCGGTGAACAGCGAGAATGGATCTGACAGCAAGCGTAGCAGCCTGGCAACCATCGAGAACGAGCCCAAAGGTGTTACGTTGGAGGACAAGCCAATGGACGATGACTAAATGCGCCTCATGTGATGTGTGGATGCACTCACTAACTGACTGATTGACTCATATGACCTGAACGTCTTGAATGTTGTCGCATGTCTTGCTTGAGGATCTCTCATCGTGACCGTGGGTTGGGAAGGGACTAGCAGCCACCAACGATTATACTCTATTAGTCTGCTTCCGGGAACAGATCGTTATGGTTGCTCCACGCCCCTTCTAATCGACGAGGATGGTCAAGCAACATGAAGCGAGAGGAGTTTACGCATGATGTGTGTCTGCTGACCTCAGTCCCCTTAGCCTCTTTCTCGGATCTGAGAGCCGGTCTTATCAGCCGAACAAGGAAGCCCAGGGGCCAAAGCTACCTACCTACCTAGTCAGCAGTCTTTCTTCGCCGCTTTTCCTTTTCTCAATGTTTTTATTGTTTGCTTCGTTCATCCTCGATTGTATCCCGCTCGGGTCGAACATCCCACTCCCGCCCCTCTGAGGTTTATTTTCAAACATGCTTCTGCTTCTTTTCTTCCTCTGACATACCCAACATCTTCGTATGTTTATTCTATCTTTGGTGTATACATAGTGCCCCCATTCCATCTATCTATCTTTGTTCCTTTCCTTCTATCTATTCAACAATTTATCTCTGTCTGCTGTGCTTTCATGATTCTATCATGTGCTCGCGAAATATCCACTTCCTTGCATTGTCTCGGATTTCTCCTCGAACAGCCCCCGCGTGTGATATGCCCCGTTCAGTATGCAGATAGAATCCGAAACTAGAATAATCAGTTAAAGGAGAACAGCAAGATGAATTTTTATTATATTTTTTTCTGAATTGTAGTGCCAAGTAAACTAAGTATACAACGCTATATGAGGTATGTTCCGTGCCATGCCGTGCCATGCTGTGTATGCTGTGCTAATCCTAGATATAAGTGATGAAATACTGTACGGGGTCGAATGCACCGATAATCAAGACATGAGAAGTCGGTGCAAGGCAAAAATGCAATGAAGGCCAGGTGGCCGAACGCTCAGAAATGCAGAATATTGACGAAGTGTTAGGCTTGACCCAATAGCAGCCTGCGGAGGATGCCTTCCCCGGGTCCAGCGATTTGGCTCTCGATCTCCCTCTGAGAGACGAAGCATACAAGGCATTGCTCATCCAGAGCTCGGCTAGGAGTCATGGGACCAGCTCCAAGCTTAGAGGGGGAACGTCGAATGTCGGTTCCGCCAGCGACTGTGCCACCTCGACCGCGGCCTTGGTATTCACCCACGAGACCCATGGTTTCCAGATTGCTAAGCACATCCTTAAACTCCGTCGATGTGAGAGGGTGCAGAAGATTGTCTTTCCGACACAGGGCGCAATACGCGTCATAGACCTGCTTGACCGTGGGGGCCATATTTTTGTTCTTGGATGGAGTACCTGGAATTTCTGTCTCGCGACGGCGCCGATCAAGAGCGATCAATACGCAGATCGCGGCTTTCTGTTGAAGATTGATGCCCTGAAGTCTTTGCACAGTGCCCTGACCGAAAGCAGAGGAAGTGATGCGCGCCACATGCGCGATGCTCGCTCGTGGTGCGGTGAGGGGGGTGTAGGTCTTCATAGACTTCTGGGAAGGTAATGAACATTTGCTGATGGATGAGAGGTTATTGTTTTCAACGAGAATGGTTTGGCTTTGAGTTCCAGAAGCGGCTTCTTGCTTCTCGAGCTTCTGTAGGGCTTCTTGTTCCACAAGATCGATGGCGCGCTTGATCAACTCGAATGCCTTGCGTAGGTCGCCAGTCTGCGAGGCGACCTTCTTCGAGCACAGCTGGATCGCTGCGGGCTGGACAAACGGGATGAAGTTTGGATCTGCACTGTGACCCTCCGGAAGCAGGGAACGAAGCCGACCAGTAATGACGCCGGCAATTTGAGCCGCATTATAAGGCAAAAATGGAAGCAGACGTGGCTTCAAATTCTTGGCCTTCAGCTGAGGCAACGATCTGTCAGTCAAGTCAAGCGCGTTTGCAATTCCAATGAGCATAAGCTTCGACTCGCTCTTTAGAGACCACTCAAATAAGGACTGCAGAATGCCAGCGTCCGCAGTAAGAAGATGGTCAATCTCGTCGAGGGTCACCAAGTATAAATCGTTCTGTTTCCTGTTAGACGTGAACATCATTCGTAACCGGTCCGCCTCGCTCTTTTTGAACACCTCAGAGTCATCGCAAAGATCCTCGATAAGCTTGCTGTAGACATCACGGGCGGCTCGCATGCTCGCGCAGTTGATGTGTGTAACCTTGGCTGATTGAAGGTCCATCTCATTACACACTTCCCGAACCAATGCGCTTTTTCCGGTACCAGGAGGACCGCTCACATACAAGCAGCCACCTGTGCGAGTGTTCAGGCCCTCCTGTATGAAGTCGCGAAGCTTTCCCCGTTCAGCTTCCCTGCCAACGATCCGTGTAGATGATGCGCCTCGTGCAAACAATTGCCTTGCTTGTGTATAAACAGTCTGTGCGGTGGTGGCAGTTGTGGGAGTGGTTGTATGGCGAGGAGTACGTGGCGTCGACGGTTTTGCGCCTACCTGAACGCGGTGTTTTGGTGTGACCGGTGGCGAGTCTAGTGCATCCCGAAATCTCGACTTCGAAGGAGTCTTGAATTCAACTGGTGTCGAATTCTCGTCTGTATTCCGTCAGCAGTGGCCTTAGACATTGCTGCTCCGGTTGACTAACCATTGATAGGATCAGCAGTGGCATTGCGTTCGACTGGTGAAAGCTTGACTGGTGACACAACCTTGTTCTTCCTCAAGCCGCGGTCCGAGGTGTGATCTGTAGATGATTCTGATTTCTTGGGACTTCGGTTCTCTTGCGAGCTGGCATTGCTATTGTCGATTGCCCTCGAACGAAGCTGACGTGTTTGTAATGCAGTGGACTCGGGTTCTTCACGGATGCGGGGCGGCTGTGCTCGGCGCTTGCTTCCACTGCGAAGTAGCAACTGAGGAGCTATGAAGAGAAGTTGATTAGTATAGGAAGATGATAGTGAGCCCCGCTGAGAAAAGGGAGTCAACGTACCTTCTGTCTCAATTGCACCACGTTGGCGCTTGCCCAGGAGCGAGACAGCCATTGTTACAATATGATGAACCCTCACACCAAGGAGGCAAGAGCGTTGGGTGAGATGGTAAAGACAACTTAGTGTATAATGAGCCAGCCCGGGATTCTCTATAGGAAGGCAAGTGTAGATCGGATTGGATAGTAATGAAGGTAATGGGGGCAATGGGTGGATAAGTAGGTGGAATGAGTGAGTGAGTGGAAATGGAGCCATTTTTCCCAAGGAGGCATAATTGAGCCTCGCCCGATTTTAGGGCCGCGGCGCTATCCACGACGCGCTGCCTCGGCGCGTCACGCGTCGGCTGCAGGCCCTGCGAGGCTGCGACAATCAATTAGGGCTGGCGGTAAGCTCTAGTACCGCAGTTTTGGCTTGCTGTATTATACTATGTATAACTTGGAATTATGCTGTGACAGATCGGTGATTATATAAGTGTGCGGACGCTTGCAGTAACTTAACCAACGAACAGAAGTGCGTCACTAATCCTGCCTACCTAAATGTCGGAGCGGACATTGCCTTCTACTGCTGTTATATAACTAGGTACAGTACTTACTTATACTCTTCCCTTCACTCCTCTCTCTATGTTTTTAGCGCACTTGATTAAACCTTAAATAAATCTATGTATCTCCAAACTCCACCTGATCAAGCTGAATCTATTCCACCGAACGTTTCTTGTTGCCCTGCTGTTCTGTAGTCTGTCATCACCGATCACCGCCTTAATACCGTCATTGGAGTTTGCAGCTGTTTGCATCAGATTGCCCTCCTCACTCATCAACCTTGCACCTTGCAGTTGAGTCCTCCTGCAAGTAATTCCCGTCTCGCACCGGCCTGATACCCCACTATTTATCCTGTTTATATCTGCTCCCGCTGCAAAAAAAAACAACCCAACGTACTTTGCCCGTCATGGACGGCGATGTGGTGGCCCAGTTCACCGAAATTACCGGCTCCAAGCCGGAGCTGGCAATCCAGTACCTGCAGCTTGCCGATTTCAACATCGAGCAGGCCATGCAACTCTACTTTGAGAATGGTGGAGCACCGCTAACCGACGAGCCTGCGCCATCAACTGCCGCCCCTCAGCAAGCCTCCCGCGCTAGAGGATATGAAGATGATTCGGGCGTTGTACACGTCGACTCAGACGACGACGACACCCCGGTGGACGAATCGCGGCCTTCCGCCCGCGGCGCTCACTTCGAAAATGATGCGGCCATGGCTCGTCGGCTCCAGGAGGAGATGTACAGAGGGGCGGGTGATGAAGAAGAGGTGCGCGCACCGATGGCTCGCACCACAGAAACTTTGGTGGGCCCCGAAGCGGACTTTGACGACGGCGACATGCATGCGAGCATTTTGGGCCAACTGCGCGCTCGCCAGCAGCGACACAGTCAGTATAGAACCTTGTGATACCATTTATCTTCCCGTCTGTCAGTCGCTAACTCATTGTTTCTCATTCTCAAGACCGTCCCGGTATCTTCAATCAAAGGGATACAGCGTCGATATGGCACGGAGAAGATGAGGCGTCACAACGTGAGCAACTGGCAGCAGCGACTGGAGGAGCCTCCGAAGCCTCAAGTAAACAGAACATGCTGGCTGAGATGTATCGCCCGCCGTTCGAGATTATGTCTCGGCTCCCTTGGGACTCCGCTCGGCAGGAAGGCCGCGATAATGAGAAGTGGTTGCTGGTCAACATCCAGGATTCTTCAATCTTTGACTGCCAGGTGCTGAACCGGGACCTGTGGAAAGACCCTGGAGTGCGGGATACCGTCAAGGAACACTTTGTCTTCCTTCAATATTCCAAAGACGACCCACGGGCGGCACCTTATCTCCAGTATTATTTTCAGGCAAGCGAGGTATCGGACAATTACCCTCATATCGCAATCGTTGATCCCCGGACGGGAGAACAGATGAAGGTCTGGTCTGGTCCTCCAGTAGTCCGGGCCGCCGAATTCTTGATGCAACTTCACGAATTCTTGGACCGGTACAGTCTGAAACACAACGTGCGGAACCCCGTCGCTAAGCGCAAGCCGGAACAGAAGGAGAAGAGCATTGACGCCATGACTGAGGAAGAAATGATGGAGATGGCGATGAGGAACAGCCTCGGTGAACAGGCGTCCCAAGCCCCGAAATTGGAGGATCCTGACGAGCTTACCCGCAGTACTGGAGACGTCAAAGGTAAGGGGAAGGCGGTTGATGCGGAAGACGTCGACATGGATGAAGAGGAGCCAGGTGAGCATAGTGCATTCGCTGCCATCTCAGATAACCACCCACACACCGAACCACCGGCCGATCCCGCAACGACGACGCGCATTCAGTTCCGCCATCCCTCCGGAAGAGTCATTCGCCGCTTCGCTCTGGCGGACCCGGTTCGGAGGATCTACGAGTGGCTCAAAGCTGAACCTCCGTTGGCAGACAAGCATGGGGTGGAGTTCGACCTCAATGCCATGGGTCGTAATCTGATCGATTCTTTGGACGCGAGCATCGAAGAAGCCGGTTTGAAGAACGGAACGGTAATGATTGGTTATGTTGAGAACGAATGATCACCCAGTCGGCGAAAACTTCGGTGCTTAGGATCTAGGATGGATCGCTGTGGTGAAGGGACAGCACTGGTCTTCATGAGTGCATCTAATCCTTCGAGCCTGCATGTTATGAGCTACGAAGACGGAAGGTTTTATCTAAAACGTACATTCGGAGCTATTTCATTGAAGGATGAATTGGGAGAGGATCTTAATGGATGGTCAGGGCCCTATAGATCTAAGCTAGGATGCAATGAGACACATGATTCTTGAACGATAGACCTTGGGGCAAGTGCTTGTATGAGGGAGTACGGAGTACCTACCTAATACTATGGGAGTAGTAAGTCAACAGGTAAGTTACTGTACGTACCGTGGGCGCAGCAGTTAGCTACATACGGGCACCGGCCCTAGAATCATGGATACAGTACCCGTGACATCGTTCCGTGGCTGTTACCGTAGGTACCCGCAATTCGCTGCTGACCGCCATTCCAGATGGAGCCCCACTACTGGCAAGAAATCAAGGCATTGGGCCGGCAGAAACAACCCCGCGTTGCCCCAATCACCGGGCGGTCCCCCTCCTTCGTTGTTGTTGTTCCATGTTTGGCCCTGCCGCCCATCAACTATTACTTATTTCGAACTAACAGTTTACTTATGAGTATTAACTTTCCCCGTACATGCAAGGAGATACTTCTATATCTGCCATCTGAGCTCTGTCTGAGATCCTTACTTGTTCCGGGTTGACAATCAAAGCAAGGGCACTCTGAAGGACGCTTGTCTGTCTGTTCTTCTAACTTACCGCTTCCTCCTTCCTCCCCCTCCTTCCTCTCTCAACAGTGCAAGTCCTGGGTTCAACAACTGCCCTCCAGCTGATCGTGCACTGATCGACCAGTGTCTCGCATTCCACGGGTGGCACTTGAGCTTAATCCTCGATTTCTCGCCTTTGTGAACTCTGACATAGAATTGATCTTCCCCCCTTGTCAATGTTCTCAGTCTTTCATTGAATCTTATCTGTTCGTTCCATACCTCCTAGACTGCTGGATTCTAGGCGATCGGTATGTGGTCACCATTCTCTCATGGCTGATTGGACGATCCATCCACTATAGTACTCCTCGAAACGTCTTGGCCCATCCCCTGCTCACTGCCTTTTTTGCCGCCCATAAATATCTTTTGTGTCGGCTTTCCATGCTGATTCTTACATTGACTATGACAGAACCACGTTGAGCACTGGCCACTATCAGATTGCAGGTTCAAACACAGCCAAAATGGAAGGCCTCGTAGATCCAGAGACAATTTACATGAAGCAGAATTGCATCGGTACGTATCCGCTTCGCCGCCTTGACTGTTAGCTGGCTTTCCTGACCGACTGTTGTCTAGGTGGCGGAAGCTTTGGGAAAGTATATAAAGGGTATGGCGCTGTCCCTACTCTCCGCTTGCAGAAGATCCATGAGGTCATCGCTCACGCTGTGTTCCGATCTAAGGGTTGATAAACGTACCGGAGCATCCGTTGCGATCAAAATCATCGACGTGGAGAATGCCGAAGATGAGGTCGAAGATATTATCCAAGAGATTGCTATCTTGTCGGAGCTCAATTCGCCCTACGTGACCAGGTATCATGGCTCGTTCTTGAAAGGCTCTAGCTTGTGGATCGTTATGGAGTTCTGCTCTGGTGGTAGTTGTTCGGATTTGATGCGCCCAGGCACAATTCCGGAGGAGTATATTATGATAATTCTCCGAGAGTTGCTCCGGGGATTGGACTACTTGCATAGCGACAAAAAGCTACACCGTGATGTCAAAGGTGCTGTTTCTCATATTGTTCATTCATCGGCCCTTCCAACTCCAGCTAATTCGTCGTATAGCTGCCAATATCCTTCTTACATCTAGTGGCCAGGTGAAGCTCGCAGACTTTGGCGTTTCGAGTCAATTATCAGCAACTATGACTAAAAAGAATACCTTTGTGGGAACACCATTCTGGATGGCACCAGAGGTAATCAAACAGTCGGGCTATGATTATAAGGCCGATATCTGGTCTCTTGGAATAACTGCAATTGAGCTGGCGAATGGAGAGCCACCCTACTCAGATATTCATCCTATGAAGGTTCTGTTCTTGATCCCCAAGAATCCCCCTCCAACTTTGCACGGAGACTACAGCAGAGCCTTCAAGAACTTCGTGGAGCTTTGCTTGCGGAGGGATCCGCGGGAGCGACCTTCAGCTCGAGAATTGTTGGAGCATCCATTCATCAAAAGAGCGAAGAAGACAACATACCTAACGGAATTGATTGAACGCTACGAGCGCTGGAGCACTATTCATGGAAAATCGACCGACGACGACGAGGATAACTATCAAGAGCCTCAATCCAAAACCAGCCCAGTCGACGAAGAAGACGATCTCTGGGACTTTGGCACTGTCCGCCCTGCGGGAGGACGAGCTCCTGCGCTGAAGCCCATGAAAGAAGCAGACGTGAATGCACGAGCTTATGATATTGCTGAACCAAACCTGAAGGCAAGCAGCCGCATAGAGCTTGCACGCGATAAAACAGATGCCCCTACTGTGCCGATGCCGCTACCGCGTACTCCAGGCGCTATATCCGTGCCATCGTCACCCTCTAAAATTCCTTTGCCGCCATCTCCTATGAAGTCTTCAGCATCAGAGTTCAAACCACATACACCTTCTTATCTAAAAGAGCCAGCTACGCGCCAGCCTAAAGAGAGTCCCGGCAATGAGTACGATAGAGCTCTACAGCAAGCGTTAGCCGAAGACTTGAGTTTCCTCAACCTTGATCAATCACCAAACAATTCTCTAGTTTCCTCGAACAGTCGCCGCGATGCTCATGCAACACAGGGATATGAGAGAACGCAATCATCACAATACACAGAGGATGTAGCCTTTCGACAGAGCCCCTCTCACGCTGTTCCTGGCCCTTCATCAAGTCAGGGATTCAAACCTGCGGCAGAACCTACCCCACATCGTCAGCTGTTCGTACCGCCGCAACCACTGCCTCGTCCTCCCCCTACTCCTAGGCACATGTCACCGCAATCGCCATCGTCCCGACCCCAACAACTGCTAGCGCAAAACAACACACCTGCCCCAGTGAAGCATAGTCGAAGTCAGTCTCATATTGCGACAGAAAGCTCCTTTGACAGCGCTTCACGGGCAGCAAGCAATCAACCATCACAGTCCTCATCAACCGAAATTACCGCCTTGAACAGTGTGATATTACCTGCTCTTGAAGCCGCCATACGTCGTCGGGCACGCCGCTTAGAAATTCTTACTCACAACGCCGCTGGCAATAAGAGCACCGATGTTTACAAACAGCAGGCGCGTCAGTATCACGCCCACGAGATGATGGAGTCTCTTGTGGGCGATCTGTGCGGGATGTTCACAAGACTTGAACGTTGGGATAATGAGGCCCCTGTGGGAATGGGTGCCCAAGTCTCGTCGTTCTTGGAGGGGTTCCTCGAAGAGGTTCTTGTTCGGATTGAGCCATCCGACGATGATTCGAACTCAAGCGGGGCTTAATTGTCTTCTTTTTGGGGCAACGATGTGGTCCTCTACTGGAGTTCAGGCCTCTCTGGTGATAATATTGAATTTTCCTTCGCACACATTCGCACGCAACCGCATCTGTCCGGACAAGCCTGGCAGATCTCTATCATTGGACCACTTTCCATGAAGTCAATGCCTGGTGTTCTCATTGATAAGAGACTTGCTGATTCAAGACCCCTGGACTACACTTTTATTTAGTCAAGTCAACTTGGCATGCTTTCCTGTTGGAGTCATTATTTTCTCGTTCCGTTCAATGTATGCATGATATTTCTATCTACCTTGGGCTGGAACCTTTGTTACCCTCATCATGATTACTAAGAAAGCACTGGATCCTCGCAACGTCAAGCCGGTTCTTGACTTTGTTCACTTCCTCTATTTGTTTTTCGAGTTCCTTTTGTGTTTGGGTATGAAGTTCTCAAGTCTTCCTCTCCCTTTCCTTTTCTTCTACGGCAATGCTTTCTTAGGTTAAGATTGATGGACATGAGCGAATTTACTTCAAGCGAATTCACGATAGGTCACATTCCTGAATTGTTGCATCTAGAAAGATATCAAATGCTCCTTATAGATTTGACTCTGTGCTAACAGCTTATATGATATATATTTTAGAAAATCTGTGGCTTCCTCCAGCTTGCCGCGGTAGACATCTATCATGGGCGCTACTATCCTGGTAGGACGAAGACCTAGGCTGGCCCCACATGACTGATGGTGTGGTGAGTAATCATGCTCAAAAGACCCAAGTTTGCCACTTTGACATCATGCAAGACCTACTACGTCCCCTCGCTTATTCAGAAAGAGAGACGTAGTAGAATGGAAAACAGGCATGGAAACGGCCAGAGCCAAGCAGGTTCACAGAAGCAGAGGCTTGGTTCTCATGAAGGACTTCAACGTGAGGAGCGGTTTGTCCTCCTGGTCACATTCTATGTCATTGATTCTGTGTCGGAACACGCTGTTACCATCCAAAAATACCCGGACAGGGAACAGCGAAGCTCTGGAGTTGCGCCGTTGGCATGGCAGATTAGACGGCGGTATGTACAGTCACTGTTCGTCGGACTCATAAGCTTTTGCCGCATGACTGCCTGTAACTTTGGAGATGATCCCTCAATTGGCTGGTACCAGCTAAGTGTTTTTGAACTTCACTTGGTGGTATTATTTGATATGGTCATCAGGTTCGCCAGTGCTCTTTCATCCGCTCGGACGAAACAACCAGTCAGTCTCTGGTGTTGGTATCAGATAGTTGGTAATATTAAACTCGTTCGTGTTTGTGTTGGTGCTATCAACGACAGGGTCAGTCGCATTGCCGGCCCCTGTAATGCCATTGATCGACATCTGCTCGTTGACTGCATCCCCCATGTCTAAATTGAGAATCTCAGGGCCTCTACCGGCTGGCACCCGCGGGACATTGAAGAAGCCGAATACATCAAGGTACTCCAGTTCATTAGGAGCTAGATTGCGTGCTGACGCGGCCGCAGGGGCTGGTGGCTGGCTGCCAGCTGGGGAGGAGCGCGGCTGTCGTGAAATAAGAAAGTCGAGATCAAATGCACAACGGCGCATATCTGCTAGGATTTTGACAGATGATGGCGTGACGCGCTCGCCCTCATTGGTGCTGGACTGTTGGTATTCGCCATACTCGTCGAGTACACGCTGTAGGAGTGAGCTGTAGCGCTCTGCCACCTTCCAGTATTTCCCCATTTGAGAAAGAGTGTCAACAAAGAAGATGATGTCGGGGCTAACAATGTGGGCGATGGTGGATCCATGGACAAGCAGCAGACGAGCAGAAACCCAGAGGGTGAACGCAAAAGGCGGCCCCATCTTGTCTAGCATGTTATTTTCCACGACATAGCGGGTCACAGAAAGGATGTTGTCGACTGCCAGCAAGCACCGTTGGCTAGCACTGTATGACGGGGTAAAGATCGGAGAGCGTGTGGTGGGGTAAGCGGCCGACGAGTGGAGTCGAATCACAGCGCTACAAAGTGTTAGCCATCGTACCGCAGGGCTGGGTGTGATATCTACACCACAGACAGAGCTTACGTTTGATATGTGGCGTGTAGTTGAACCCAGTCACAGTGAAGGTTCCGGCTATGCTTGGGTCCACTGAAGAGGCGGGACGAGTTTTCATAAGCATACTCGGCTGGAAGGTTGAATTCCCAGGACGTGAGTTCGCTATCGAGCTTGCGATACATCACTTGCCATTCCTCGACATCGGAAAGTGCACCTATATCGACGGGTCTCTTCAAAAAGGTGTGTATCCGGGATAGTATCCCTAGTATTTCCACGTAAAGTCCGAATGTTCCCACATTCTCGGCGCGAGTCGAATATTCAGCACGATCGCTGGTGCGCCGAAACCACCGAGTCTCGACCGGCTGATTCTTGTGGAAGTATTCATCCTTGCATGGAAGCTTGCGGTCAATATCCTTGTCGTCCAAGGCAAAGTCAAATGCAGTGGCGATAGTGGAGTATCGGTCAAGGAGGTAAACCATCCAAAACAGCCTTCGTCTGCTCTCATCCTCAATCCAGGTGTCAGGATCTGGAAGGGTGACTGCGCGCAGGGTATAAATGGAAGGGTATAGAGGGGCAATGAGCGAGGATTTGGACTCCACGGCTAGACCCAGTTGGACTACGGATCGCGTGACCAAAGCAAGTAACTTCCATCCCGGGGGGCCGTTGGAAGAGCCTACCAAGTCCAGCGCTAAAATCACCAGAGCTTGGAGCGCTTTGACCGAAGAGTTTTCCAGGCCGTAGAAAAGCACCTTCTGCTTGGACGAGTCATGATATCGCTTCCGATTCTGCGCGTTGAGTCGACTATCATTCGAAAAGCGGAGCGTGGTTGCCACAATGGCATAAAGTACGACCCTATCAGCTTCTTCTAACGGAGAGGGTCCGAAGAACGTATCGAGCGTAGTCCGGCGATGAAGTATGGGACACCAAGTGTTGATGTGTTCAAAGTAGAGATCGACTAGTGCATATAGTAAATCATAGGGGGGGAGATCGAGTTCTGGGTCAGCTAATGATTGTTCCTGGCTGTTGTATAATGACACTGGGACCTTCAAAGAAGATTCATTCCCTGTATAATCACTCTGGGTCGAGTTATTGGGAAGATGAGGCAACGCTAGGGCAGAAGAGATGCCATTCGGAAGGTGATTTGGCAGCGTGTTCCGCACCGACATGTCCGAGGGACTTGTGATAGAGACGTCAGATTGACGATTAGGGTGCGGGAATGAGGCTGGCTCTTGGATGAGGAAGGTAGTTTGAGGACTTGTTCCATGAGCGGCAGAAGGCTCTGAAGGCGAACTGTACGAGAAAGGTGCAGGGTGGAGAGCATCTTGGCCCAGACGTGATTGACCCCCAATGATATGCTTCTCGATGAGACGAGCCTGCGTCTGGATAACTTCCTCCAAGCGGTCTGTATCTCCGACATCAGTTGAGCCGGCTACAAGAGTTTGTATGAGATTGGCAAGAAGATAATATGCCTACCGAGTCGCTGTTCAAGCTCCTTGCCATACCCCGCACGAAGGCCGGGCTTCTTGCGTTCCTTGTACTCGCACAACTGGCCATTGCGTGCACACCACCCACAGCTGGGTTGAGCTCGATCTAGCAAGGTTAGCAAGCCATGTATGTAACATTGCACTACCACGCGGCTCACCTACCACATTTGACTTTCCTCTGCTTACAAAGCTCACATCTGGTGGTTAAGGACGTTAGCCAGATCGGTACGACAGCCACTACTGTTTCACCAAGGAAGGTACAGGGCGAAATGCGGATGCAAGATGCCCGAAGAGTGTTCATTCATCCAAAGCTTGTTTAGGCCGGGTTGAAGAGGAGACATACGAGACAGTGAGGGGACGCTTGCGCTTCAGTGCTCGAGAAGCACTCGAGTCGTTCTGGGCCACCCGGTCATTGTCACTGTCAGCAGCGGACCAAGACTCATCTCCGCTTTGATACCGTTCTGGCTCGCCAGAAGGTCGGTATGGTGGTGGAGTCCGCTCAGCAGGAGAAGCTGTTGGTGCTGGTGCTGCAGCAGAATTCGGCATAGCCGCTGTACTGTACTTGGGCGAATCGGGATCTGCAAGGAAGGAGGGGAGGTCGGTTTCGCCACGGCAATTGGTATCAGTAGTCAGGAAAACTTCATGATGACAGGGGGAGGGGGGTTTGAGGTGAAGATCGGGGGAGGAATTGAACCGAATTGAACAACAAAAGAAAGAGACCGGGAAAATGAAAGGGAAGAGGCAGGCAGAAAGGCGAAGAGCAGACGCAGGCGGGAGTGCGTGCGGTGCGGGCGGGCTAAGGCCCACGGGGTTTAGGTGGGTTTACCCAAAGTGGGAATAACCTTTCACCCCCGCGATTTCCCACCGCTCGTTTTATCCAGGTTGCACCCGTTGCAGAAACACTCAGAAGTTGGGGCAAGGCCCGATCCGCCAGTCAGCTGATGAGCTGTAGAAGAAGAAGAAGAAGAAGAAGAAGAAGCAGCTGTTGACCTCGGTCACTATTACCCCGAACTCGCGCTGCCCGCCCGGGGCAATGGAGAATTATTTCCCCTCGATGCCATCCCGGTCGCATGTGTTCAAATATGAGAGGTTTCCCTGGGGAAGAATGGCTGTCTTCCTTCTCATTTCTTCCCATTTGGTTTTTGTTCTGAAATTACATTCTGTTGCCTGTACATCATCGTCACCATGAGCAGCACTACGCCCACTTTCCCCCGCATCAAGGAAGTCCGCACTTTCATCACTAGCGGAGTGGGCTCCGGAGGTGACTATCACAATGTAAGTCACAACCGAACCGGCATTCGCATGTAGCGAGAAACAGCCTAACGTTTCTTTCTCTCTTCAGGTCAAGGGTGGTCACTGGCTGATTGACAGCGATATTTCGACCCCGATGACCAAATGGGCGGAATACCGTGGCTCGCGGACCTCCTGGGGTATCAACGTCCTCGGCTCTTTCTGCGTCGAGCTGGAAGCCACCGATGGAACCAAGGGCTTCGCCACGGGCTTCGGTGGCCCCCCGGCTTGCTGGTTGGTCCACCAACACTTCGAGCGTTTCTTGATCGGTGCCGGTGAGTCTCGACTTAGGTCTTCTCTCCAGTTCATAGAATGGACGATGACTAATCCCCATGGTCTCATTCATAGACCCCCGTGATACCAACGACCTGTTCGAGAGAATGTATCGGGCTTCGATGTTCTACGGCCGTAAAGGTCTTCCTGTGGCCGTCATTTCCGTGATCGATCTGGCCCTTTGGGATCTGGTGGGCAAGATCCGCAAGGAGCCTGTCTACAAACTCATTGGCGGAGCCACGCGCTCACGGCTGCACTTCTACTGCACTGGGCCGCAACCCGCCGCCGCCAAGGCTGCCGGCTTCATTGGCGCGAAAGTCGCCCTCCCCCACGGCCCCGACGAGGGCACCGAAGGTCTGCTGAAGAACGTCGCCTACCTGCGCAAGCAGCGCGACTCGGTCGGCCCCGACTTTCCCCTGCGCGTGGACTGCTATATGTCCCTGAATGTCCCCTACACCATTGAGCTCGTCAAGCGCTGTGAAGCTGAGGGCATCAACATTGACTGGTGGGAGGAGTGTCTCACCCCGGATGACTTCGATGGCCATGCGCTCCTGAAGAGAGCCCATCCCACGGTCAAGTTCACCACCGGCGAGCACGAGTACTCCCGCTACGGGTTCCGCAAGCTGATTGAGGGGCGCAACCTGGATATTGTGCAGCCGGACGTGATGTGGGTTGGCGGTCTGACCGAACTATTGAAGGTCTCGGCCATGGCCGCGGCCTACGATATTCCCGTGGTCCCCCACGCTTCCGGCCCATACTCATACCACTTTGTGGTCTCCCAGCCCAACACACCGTTCCAAGAGTACCTGGCCAACTCCCCCGACGGCAGCACGGTTGAACCGGTATTCGGAAATCTGTTCTTGAACGAGCCCATCCCCACTCAAGGCTACCTGGATGTGTCGATCCTCGACAAGCCCGGATTTGGCCTCGAGCTGAACCCCGCTGCTCCCCTCATCAACGCCGCCACTATCCTCACCCCGGCTCCCCAGAAGGGCTTGCCCGCTCCGGTAGCAGAACAGCCCGAGGCCAACGGAACTGCATAGAATGAATGATCTACGACGCGAGTCTTGTGAGGGAAAGCTGTTAACAGGATTGCGCAGCGCGCAATAGATCCTACTATTTTATTGTCATTGTTTTTCTTTTTTTCTTTTAAATGTCCCATGTATGACTGATGCTCATTTTCTTTTCTGACTCGTGTGTTCCATGATGTTTCTCCATGTTCATAGACGGAAAATTCTCATTGACCGACCAATGGTTCCGACAGTGGAGATGTATGTGTATTGTGCACCGCGCCGAGTCGGCTAAAAGTAGCGACACGAGCAAGTGTGGGGTAAACACACGTTCGCTCGGGGTATCATCACCGCGAAACCCCCGAGGCCGCGACTCCACGTGCCCCCCTCCCTTTCCAGCTTCCCCACTATCTTATCGCTTCGGCGGGGTTAGCATTGATTGTAGCATTTGGCAAAAAAAGAAAAAAAGAAAAAAAAAGCCGAATCCTCCAGCGAGGTCCAATTTCGAAGTCAGAGATATATCTAGACAATTCCCCGGAGATTCGCCCCAAATTGAGGTCTGGGAGAATTGACCAACAACACTCTCAAATCACAACACAAAACCATGCCGCTTCCACAGCTCCTCATCGGCAAAGTAGCCGCCATCACGGGCGGTTTGACGGGTATTGGCAGAGTGAGTAACTTTCTTCGCTGCTTCTGCGATGACTTCCCAGCCCGAACCAGCCCAACCAACTGAATTGCTGCCCAGGCCATTGCCCTCGATTATCTTCGACACGGCGCCAAGGTAGCCGTCAACCACCTCGGGGGCCCGAACGACGAGCCACTCCTCGAGGCGCTGCGCAAGGACGCGTCCACGGTGAGCGGAGGCGACGAGAGCAGATTTCTTGCCGTGGCGGGGGATATCTCGCAGCCCGAGACGGGGCGCGAGTTTGTCGCCAAGACGGTCGAGGCATTCGGACGGCTGGATGTGTTTGTGAGCAATGCGGGGGTGTGCAAGTTTGAAGAATTCTTGGAGTACGTTCATGCTCACTTGCTTGTTTCTGCTGTGACCGAAGGTCTGCCATCGATGATCTGAGATAACAATGCTAATCGTTGATCTCCGACAGGGTCGACCCTCCCTTGCTCGGCCACACCTTCAACACCAACCTCTCCGGTGCCTTCTACGCCGTGCAGGCGGCTGCGCGACAGATGGCGCTCGCCCAGTCGCCGCCCGGCGGCTCGATCATCGGCATCAGCTCCATCTCGGCGCTGGTCGGCGGCGGGCAGCAGACCCATTACACGCCGACCAAGGCCGGCGTGCTCAGTCTCATGCAGTCGACGGCCGTGGCGCTGGGCAAGTACGGCATCCGCTGCAATGCGCTGCTGCCGGGGACCATCCGCACGCAGCTGAACGACGAGGATATGAGCGACCCCGCGAAGCGGACGTACATGGAAGGCAGAATCCCGCTGGGACGCCTAGGCCAGCCGCCGGATCTGGCGGGCCCCGCGGTGTTTCTGGCGTGCGAGGAGTTAAGTGGCTACGTGGTGAGTGTCTGCCTGAGAGCTGTGATCTTCTATGGCCGAGCACCATTACTAACAACTGGGGAATGTAACAACAGACTGGTGCACAGCTGCTCGTGGATGGTGGATTGTTTGTGAATCTTCAGTAGATCTTAAGATCGTGTATTTATGACTGACACCCTACCCTGCATATCACGCATATATAGCTATGAATAAGCCTAAGTGTAAACTTTAGTACCGACAGACTCAAATCTCCACGCCGTAAGCCTGGGCGGCAACACCGCCCCAGACCCCTTCTCTTTCCGCGGGGGACAAGCCTCTGCGGTCCAAGATCTCTTCGACGACCCTCTTCCACCGGCCCCACGAAACCGCATTTCCTCCGCCGCCGACATTGCACACCGGCCAATCCGACCCAAACATGACTCTCCGCGGCCCAAAGACATCGAACACGACATCCATCCATGGCTGGATCCTGTCCACCAGCGCCTTGACATCCGGCTCCGTGCCCTCCTCCAGCGGCAGCAGCTCCGAGAATCCGCCGGAAAGCTTCATAAAGGTCGAGGGATACTGGGCCATGGCCATGATCAAGGACGACCACTCCAAGAAATCCGGATGAGTGGCCACAGAAGCCGGGCCATGATACGGCAGCCGAAGATTCGGTTTACACAGGTGGTCTGCCCACATAACCGAGTCAGATATCCCTGTTACCCGCGAGGGGATTCACACACACACGGAACGGATGAGCAGGGAAAACACTCACTAATTACGACCTTCACCCGCGATCCCTCCTCCACCCGGTCAAAGACCATCCTCAACATCTCCGCCGCCTCCCTCAACTGCCACATGCCGCCCTGCCTCGCATCAACCCCAAGATCGAACGCCAGCCCCTGTCGCCCAAGCCAACGCAGCCCCTCCACGAACCCAGCCTGCCCCATCACCCCCGCCGGCTTATCCTGGACCAGATACCGCACCCCGCAGACTTTGCGGTAGACATCCTCCCCGGTCCGCGCCCGTACCAGCCCCATATACCTCTCCAAGGCCGCCGCACCCCCCGGCACCGGCGCCCACGGCACCATCCCGAGACACAGATGGCGATCTGCCGCCGCATGGCCCTCCCCGGGCACGGGGGCACCCGTGATAATCCGCGTCAGGAGGGACACCTCGTCCAGCGGATGGGACCAGCCGAGCTTTTCGGGATCGACCGAGGAGATGCGGTCGGTTTCGAGGAAGATGAAGCCCCGGAGATAGGAGGGCGCGGCGCCCGCGGCGCTCGGGTTACTTGTGGTCGCGGCAGTCGTCGCCTGGCGGTACTCGTCGACCGAGTGCTGCGCGCCCAGGGGGCTCTGGGGGCCATGCCAGGCCAAGGTCGGCAGGTGGGATTCGGGGAATAGGTGGATGTGGGAGTCCACGATGGGGATTGGTTTGGACATGTTGGTTGCTTGAGTTGGTGACTGCTTTCTTCCTTTTTCCTCGGCTCCTGGAATCGAAGAGGACCTCGTCTTCTGGGAGGTGTTGTGCTAGCCTTGGTTGTCGAAAATTGCGGGGTAATTAAGGAACGATAAGGATCTACGGCGGTGCTGGCTAGCTAGCCCTGAGGTAAGGCGGGAGGCGCAAAGCTGACGAGGGGATTGTTCGAATCGAGAGGAGTCCAAAAGCTTTGCGAAACATGCGCTGTATAGTGCAGTACAATTGAAATTTGGGAGGATTATTCCCTCGGGATTACGTCGCGTGCGGGGATGGGAGAGGGGGGAGAGGGGCAATGAGGGAGCTCGAGATCTCCTGACTTGTTTACTTCGCGATCGGTAGCCATTACGCCGAGTCGACTGCCCCTCGGACTCTCCACGAATCCACTCTCAACAGATAGCTGGCTCGTCTCCCGGTTTCTCCTCCGCAGAGGATTGTGCGCCGAATTGTCCGTGGGATAGGACGCTGGCTGATGGCCGTTATAGAACGACGCTTAGGTGAACTCGTGTCGCCCGCATTGTTGACAGCATGGTTAATCCCCCATCGAACCCTCGGTGCAATGCAGCCATGTGCTCTAGTATGCAGTAACCAACCTCCGATCTCCCATGGCACGGCGACATCCATCTCAACCGTCAATCTCGCGACTTAGGATCAGATCGGATTGGGTGTCGAGCGGTCGAGGCCAGATATATAATTAAGCGATTGAGAGGACAATACTCACATGGAAAAAAGCCTGATCAAACTCATGGGAGAACCAAGACAAATCCAGAATACATAACATCCGAGACCAGCAGGAGAAAGTCCACAAAAACAGTCAACCGCTTCCTTCGAAGCCATCCATATACATACACAAAAAATCCGATGAGAGAATCTCAGACGGGAAGTATAAAAAGCAAAAAACAATGACCTACGCAGGGCTCGAACCTGCAATCTCTTGATTCGTAGTCAAGCGCCTTACCATTGGGCCAGCAGGCCATGCTGTTGAAAAACTGCTGCATAGTTACAACCGTATCACTAAGATAGTGGCTGGCCTAGACCCGAATGGTTTCGATTATGGTTAATCGGCATGAGTTGATCTCGTAAATCTGCATGGGTGCATAGCTGACCGCAACCCACGGCACACTTCCATTGTACAGTTCCCGGGCCAGCGGAACGAGGGCAACCATCGTCCCAGTAGTGCTTCTCGAAGCCCGCGTGGAACCATGGCTCGTGCATGACTGTTGTGTCACCGGGCGCGCAAAGTATACGGACTTTGGGCAGTCCGCTGCTATGACATCAGTAGTACTCTAGTATACGAAGCAGATGCGGCTGATGAACGAGAATGATCGATGTTGCAGGGAATACAGCATAAAGTGAAAAGGTTGACAGGCTCAGATTGAGATCAATGAAAATATGACATGTTGAGCACAGAAGAACATAGAAAGTCACCAGCGGCAAGGGTATAAACGAAAGAAACCACCTCGTGCAACGCTATCTACCCTTTTGGGGGAAAAAAAGAAAAAAAGGGAGAGATCCCTGAAAGAGGCAATGCAGCGCCCGAAATTCATCGAGCTCGCTTGCTATTGCCGGTAGTCGTAGCCGAAGACGGCCTTTTCTGACCAGCACCTGCGTCAGTCGATGCCAGAGCACGGATCAGCGCGTCCAGCCGGATGATATAGGCCTTGGGCGCGCGGTCTACCTCCACCTTGCGCAGGATCCCCTTCAGCTTGTCCTCGAACTGACGAAGGTTCTGAAGGGGAAGCTGCTCGAGAACATCAAGGACAAAGAAATCTCCAGTCTCGGTGGTCCGGCCAACGAGCTGGTGATAGAGATTGCGCTGGTCCTCATCCTCGCCGTCAAACGTCTCTCGACCCCAGGTATTGCCCTCCAAGGGATCGTGGTTACGGCCGCAGATATCTTCCAGTAACGTCACGAGCGCTTTCGCAGCCCCATCAGCGCCGTGGGGTGCCCGCGCAACGATGCTCCTCCGGATCCGATGGACATGACCGTGGATCTCCTCCAGCACAGTGCTGGCAGTCAAAACCCGGACTCCCGTCGGAAGCTGCCCGGTTTGGCAGTATCGATCGAAGCCGGCGAGTAAGCCCCGCAGTCTCTGCTGGACCTTGTCAAAGTATATCGCCGTGCACGCCCCGATGGGCATCGCCTTGCGCAGACTGGCGTAGACTGCGTCGTCGTGGACAGCCAGCCGGAACAAGGTCGCCGCGAAGTCTCCCTGCACCACGCACTGCTCGGGCGTGCGGGACTGCCCCGGCTCATCATCAGCAAGGTCCGGACGGAAGTCCTCGGGCAGGATGGCGCTATCGAAGGCGGACATGATATCCTTGACCATCTCCTGGCGATTCATCCCCCCGTGGGCTTCGAAGGGCGGATACGGCCAGTCAAATTCGTGCGCAATGGTAGGTATCTTGCTATCGAGCAGTTGTCGAATGCGTCCCAGGTTCGGTAGGCGGTCATGGTTGGATAGAGGAATGTCGGGGGTAGGATGTCGGGAGAAGAGGCGGCCATGAAGCTGGTCGTGAAGCCACTTCTGACGGTTAGTATCAGAGAAAAGTAGAAGAGAGCTCCCCGACAAGTGGACTAGAGTCTCTAGTCATGCTCACATAGATATGTTGGCAGGGTACACTGGGTTGACTCGAGTAAGTCGAACAAGTGCAAGTGAAAGACTCTGCTCCGAGATGAACGTGAGGCCGCTCTGACAACTGGAACCCGTATCCTGTTTGCGTCTCACGGCAGCGGATCACGTCGAAATGACTCGTTAATCCCACCAGAGCTCTGGCCTTGGAACCAAAATACAGCCTGGAGAGGTCGTAAGAAAGGCCTGACGCGCCGTGTACAACCGGGTGTGCCGTCGGAGTTGCCCTGTCGTCAGCGCTGGAATCGCTTCCACCATCCGAACCATCGCTGTCCTCGGCCTGATTTCTGACGATCTCTTTTCCGAGGCGGACTGCTGGCATGTCACCGGTAATCGACAGTCTTCGAAGTTGGCGAGTAGGAGTAGACATGAATACTTGGTCGTGCTTCGGCAAAAGCCAGACTTCAATCAGATGTGTGTAGTGGGGACAATACAGTAGATAATCTGTTCCATGCTGCATTGGCGAAACTGACATTATATAGAGTTTGCTCCGAACCAAGGATGAAAGCGGGTACTCTTCGCTGCCAGTCGTACTCGGTCCTGTACATTCACCCATGGCACAGTGGCAATCAACCGGACACACAGTAGAAATCGGCGCCGCAGAAGAAGACAGATCTTGGTACTGGTGAGTGGAAATCCATGCGACACAGCAGAACCTCGCTGCCGGGGGGTCTTTTCCACACTTCTGGTCAATATTGCCAGCCAGCTGAGCTCTAAAATACCAATATGGCACTCCGAGTGCTTCCCCACACCGACCGGTTGCGAAAAGCCTTGGGTCGCTCCGAGCCTCGTATTGCGGACCAAATCTCAAGATGGGCTGGTGTAGATTCACCACTGGTAGCAAAACATCCTGTCAAGGACTGCGCCTCAGGGTTTGCGGTCGACGTACTATCTGCTGTTCCAGGCTCGGTAGGCTGAGAGGTGGATGTAAGGTATGGGTCGGTAAGCGAACAAAACACTCAAGCATTGTGGTTGTCGTGCCGGCGCTGCGCTGTGCGCTGTGCCGCTGGGCCCAGCGCAGCCACTCGACATCGATAATCGATACTAAACGACGTGCGGCGCATCTCGAAATATACAGTGCCTACAGCCGCAGCTTGCAACCTCCACACTAGTGTATCCCCACCGCCCCAATAGAATGAAGGGAAGATATAACAAGAAAGAGCGCAAGGCTCCACGGACTTCTAATTACATATTGAAAACACGGATAATATATGTACTGAGGTAAAGCTGATTCTACGAACATCAAGCTTCTTCTGCTCATGCTCATGTGACTTTCCTTGCGGCGTTTCTCTTCTTCGCATTCTCCAATGCCTTGCGAAGTCGCTCTTGATGCTCTGTATCTTCCACAGGCTGGCTCGAGGCAGGCTTGGTGGCGGAGCCGGGACTCGGGGAGCGAGCATTGTTGGGCGGCTGCACAGGCTCCTGCAATAGAGTAGGCGATTGGTCGGAGACAGTATCGTGGCCGAGGGAACGGAGAAGATCCTTGATGCTAGCGGCCACCCGAGCTGGCCCTTCCCTCACACTCTCTAGCTTGCATTTTAGATCATCCTGGATCTTATTATCTTCTTTCTTCTTCTCGGCCTCGAGTTGACGAAAAACATCAGCCTCGGCGTCTGAGCATCGAGCCTCAGCAACCGATACACTATAATCGGCGTCATTGAGAGATGCATCAGCGATACCGAAATTTTCGAGTATGGACTCGGAGTCCTCGCGCAAGCAGTCAATAAACTGGTTGACTGATTTGAACAATTGCACAATTTCACTCTCTGAGAGAAGAGAAGAACGAAGGCTTGCCGCGTCGATTCGTGATACCTTTGCAGTGATGTCATCGAGTACTCTCTGGTTTTCTCCGAGACCCTGCATGATAACATCATCGAAAGAGTCCATCAATCGATTTGCTCTAGCATCCCGTTCTCGAGCAGCCTCCAGCTTATTGCGCTTCTCCATCTGATCGAATTCTTGATCCAGCCGTTTGAGGGCAGTTGAGTCGCCCATATAAACGAGGGGCCGCCTCTCAGCTTTCTTTCGTCGACGTTCGCGGTCCAAAGCAATTTCGAGGCGCTTTTGATAGCGAGCTTCTAGGTCACGGTAGATCTCATTGACAATCTTCATTGCCTCAGACACATGACTATGGTCCTTGACCGTTTTTGTGACCGTATTGTCACCGTCGTCAAGCTGGGCGAGAGCGGCTTCATAGTCGGTTTGTAATACCAGGACCTCCTCATTCAACCGTTTGTCCAGCGGATCAAAAACGCGTGCAATAAAGTCGTTCAGTTCTTGCCTCTCCTCCTCCAGCTGGCAGCGAGCCTCCTTCTGACGGAATTCCTCCTCGAGGACATTGATATCAGCATAACCTATCTCCTTTCCGTTGAAAAGGGCATCAATGTGTCTTTCGGACTCTTCCTGACGTTGGACACGCTCCTTCTCCAGTGCGTCTCTACGAGACTTATTCGAAGCAGCCCAGGTATTTATCGCCTGGTGAATGTAAGTGAAGTCATTGGTCATTCCCCTCGGCTCCTTTTTCGTAGAATTCTCAGTACTGCTCACAGACTCTTTGCTCAGTGACGATGACACGATTGAGCGTAGTTCGTCCCAGGGGTCAGGAAGTCTGCCTTGTCTTAGGGAGGCGGGTAGTGGTGGGAGAGTCGACGACTTCTGGAAGGCTGTTTTTCGGTACGCAATGCTTTTCTCTCTGATAAGACCGATGAACGTTTCGTCCTGCCCTGCATGATTTGGTGCCTCTGCAGGGAATGAGAGGTCTTCTGATGCAGGAAGCAAGCCGTTGGACATCACCCGCCCGCTTTCAGCAGATGCTTGACGCAAGGCAGAGTAGGCTTGATATGCTGGACGATCAAATACGAGGGCATCTGAGCCCCTCTGAGGGCCCTCCGTGTAACGGAACGGCGTATAAATCGGTTGTGGGGGATTAGTAGCCAAAGGGGAGAGGTCCTGCTTATGTGCCGCATGATCGATCATCGTAGGCGGTACTGAGGCAGGTCCCTGGGATGATAGCTGTGCACCAAAGGAAGGGGCAACAGCAGGTGATGGGGTGCTTTTCATATTTGCGGGATCGGGTGTGTGAAGCCTAAGGATTGGCCGGCCACCCGGACTGTAGCTGCCATCTCCAGATTCGTCCGCGGTACTAGTGGGTACAGCGAAGTCCTCGGTTTCCACTGGACACAATCCAGATTCCACAGGAGGGGACGCAAGATCGATCTCGCTGCTGCTTGCAAGAGCAGTTGGTGTCACCGATGCTGAAGGAGAAGTGCCTGTCGTTGTCTGGTTGGCACTCTGTGAGTGAGGATCAATGCTATACAAGACTTCACGTAGCTTCGTCTCCTTGGCCATGAAACTTGTAAAGATCTCAAATCTATCTGAATCGGTATCTGCCGTAGCCTCCTTCCGTAGCATTGCCACATATCGTTCCAAGGAAGATTTAGACCAGGTATCAAGATCGTCAAAAGGATCAGGCCGTTTCAATGACGCAAGCGCTGTCCGACGTGTTCCTTCGACTTCACCGGCCTGACTTTCGGTCCCTTTCAAGCTTGTCTTGCTCTCACTTTGCACTGCATGTTCTGATTCTGCATCATCAGCTTGTGAGTTTGTTGTAAGAGGGCGAGTCCATGCTTCAATGACACCATCAATACTCTCCACGGTTTCTGAGGTAGAGACGGAGCTGTCAATAGACTCAATACTATTCACTCTAGCATTCAATTCAAGCGGGAGGGGTGATTCGTAATCTTCCTGTGCTGTATCAACACTCACGGGAGAATCATGAATCTCCAGCTGCGTGTTGGTATACCCTGTGTGCAAGTCCGTTGGAGGTGGCCTAGAACTACTAGGGAAGTTATGAGGTGCTGAATTTGATGCCGCAGGTAAGTGAGAGGGGAGCCCCGCGCCCACTGGGCTTGTGTGTTCACGCTTGGGAGCTAAAGCCGCAACATCGTCAAGGTTCCCTGGGGTCGGCGATAAATGCTCCCAGGCAGAAGGTGTACCAGGGCCAAGAGCGGAGGCGCTAGGAGGGATCGAAGTGGGATTAGTTTTGGGTGGTACCGGAGGCGCGGCGACAGGTAGCAATTCAGGGGCTATGCCAGTGGTTGTCTCATGAGCCCACGAAGACTGGGGTTCTGAATGTCCAATGACATGTGACGGATGGGGTTGCTGTGGACTTATAAGTGGAGGCAGTCCTGAACCAGGCGCTGCAAGCCCTACGGGGTTGGCTTGAATTGATGCTGTTGGGCTGGGCTGCTGTACGGGAGAATCATGAGGTCGGCTGAAGGCGGCGCTAGAATATGGTGGAGGTCGTAAATGATTCTGCGTTTGGCCGCCGGAATGAGAAGCGAAGTCCTGGTAACCGGAAGGAATAGGAGGTGGCGGCGTGGCCTGTGTTGGTACGGACTGAGTCTGTTGATGGGATGCCACTGGCGGAGCGCTCGTTGTCCATTGCGGATATGGATTCGATGCCTCTTGAGCTGCCTGCAATGGAGTTGTCGACGAAGGCCTTCTAACATCCAACGAGCCACCGGCGGGAGAATTCGTCTGGATGGAATGGGGCTGTGTTGTGCTTGGAGGTCGCGGCTGGGGGAAATTTGTCAGTTGCGCAAGCTCTCAAATTCTGGTAGTACTGCCAGGTGTATGCGTATTCGTATACAGTGTACTGTACATTGATTAGTACACTTACCGGGAGTGGTGGGGGGCTCGGGGCCTGAAACTGCTGCCTGTTGTATTTCACGCCCCATGAAGTCGTGTCCATTCCTGCCATATTGGAAGTTGGAGAGACGTTTGCGCCCGCGTTATTCACCAGGGGAGAACTGGCATTCGGTCGTGAATTACCCTGATTAGACGTTGGGCGAGCTGGGAGAGGGGGGTTTGCCTGCCATGACGGCTGCGGGGGAGGGTGCGGCGTCGCAGGACTTGGAGAAGTAGTGGTCGACGTGAGACGCCATTCTGGTTGTGTAGGCCCTGTATTAGAGCCGTACATCTCCTTCTTAGTCTTCTGTTTTCACTAGCAAAATGAGCCTTGCGCGAAGTAGATTGTCTGCGTCGAGAATAGCGAGGCGAAAACGGAGGCAGAGCGGGAAGAAGAGATAAGTGGCTGGTTTAAGAGAAGCACGAGGAAGAAATATGGATGGATGATTGTCCTGCTGACTTCAGATGGCACAAGATCAACCTAACAGGAAGCAAGTTGAACTGTACTGTACCCCCTTTCCCTGGTGACCTAATTTATTTGCGGTCTTGGTATTATTTATCCAACCCCCCGGCGTATGTATGGGGGAGGAGGAGAAGAAGAGTCGGAAGGAGAGCCGAGCGAGGCGGTGCCGAACACTCAATACCGACATTACCGTGCCGACTTACACTATATAACTTATTCTCCAACCACCACCATCCTCTTCTGCTACTTTTCTCCTTCTCAAGCCCCCGGATAATGCAGATGAATAGCACACCACTCTAAATCTCTTCATTCTTACATGACAGACAGCTCAGGCTGATGGGTATGAGGACCACCTGAAATAGGAGAACGGGCAGAGGCAGACGTTCCAAGGTTCCTTTCCGTCCTTTGTTTATGCGCGCGATCCTGTCTTGGAGGGGACATCTTCTCAAGCATGGAGCACTTCCAAATCCTTATTGGCTAGTGAGCCTTAACGAGCTTACTCCCCACGGTTTACATTCTCTGTCTTCCTTTATGCCCTTTGCCTTCTTTGTCGCTCGAAGTCGCGCGAGTCGTGGTCCTGCAGTACTACCATGTCTAAAAAGGTCAACACGCCCAACAAGCGTTGGCGCAAACGCGTAGTTCTCTTCTATCCACCCGAAATCTAGCTTATATTGCCGTTCGAGTAACATTTCTCAAAGAGTCTCATCCTTTCTCACGAGCACAGTATCTGGGATAGAACCAGCAATTGCACCATGTCGACCGAAATCTCTCCTGATTACCATCTGGAGCCCCCCCCGGATGAGGTGATACTGCCGCTGCCGCTGCCCCGGAGGCCCAGTTTGTACAATGAGGTGGAATGGGGGCAGCATGTGAATCAGAACGATGCCCGCATTGCCTACCGCTTCTGGTTGCGCGCAGATGCGGCGATTCAGGGAGACCACAATACTGCAGGGGAAACGCCGTTTTTGCACCCAGGCGATGACGAGGAGAGGGCGGCGGACCCTATGCATGCCCTAGCACGTACCATTTACAATGACCTGATGCGACAGCATCTCGCGCCGATTAGCCCCAATGATCAGGGGACAGCGTGGACGAATCACTCGTGGAGTTTCCATGACATCTTCCCAAAGGATGAAAAGTCCAGGGACGATGGCGACAACATCCAGTGGATATTCTTTGAACCCAAGTCAGCCCAGTCCATGAAGTCCGATCAACTCAAAGAGGCTCTTGCTGAAAGAGGCCTCGATCACAAGGGTACAGTAGCTGTACTGCGCCAGCGTCTTGAAACATACCAGAAAGAAGGGCCGAAGTGCTATCGGGCCCTACGGCGCAGCGACCTCTCCCGCTGGGGAGTGGAAAGAACAAATGTCAGTCGCCTGTTCGCGATCAACATCTCAGAGGATGAAACAGCACGGACAATTGACCTGTACACTTGCGCCATCCTCCGAAGCCCATACAACCCTATGTACTGGATGGGTCGAGCTTATTGCCACTACCGACATGCTATGTTTGACCTTGCCATTGGGGATGCTTATCGAGCCCAGATCCTACTTGAGGTGTTAGTCAATCCCATGAGACGAAACGTCCAACCCGGCCTATACACTCTGGTCTGGCATGCCATCGAGCAGCACATCGAGTCCGGCGGAGTGCAAGACGAGATTTGCTGGCTGCGCCGTAGCAATGGAATCAACTATTTTATTCCAACCATGCGAAAGGCACTTCAGAACATTATCTGTCTCAGTCTCATGGCTTGTCAAGGGTGGGATGATCACTCGCACTTCGAGCAGGACCTTCTGGACAGGGTTATCATGAATGACCGCGACACGCTACCGTTCAAACGGCGCCCTAAGGTTTACGATAAGATCAAGAAATCTCCGACATGCAACTGGAAGCTGGACGACGACTGGGGCCGCAACTACCTGTACCACGAGCGACGTAGTGGGTGGAGTTATGGAGACAGACCTTATCCCTATGAAGCAGATGATATAGTAAGATTGCCCAAGACTGGTGAAGGGGAAGGCTTCGCGAAAAAGGCCAACGAGTTCTTCGTCACCAAGAATGCCAGTCTCCCCTGGAAGAAGTGCAAGATCGCGATGGAAAGAGAGCAAAGGTATATGATGTTGGCGACCGAAGACATCGCCAAAGATGAACTCATCTGGGTCGAAATGCCTTCAGCCCGGGGTCACCTGGCCACCAAAAGACCGCCACTTCCCGAAGACCACATCCCTGAAAGAAAACTCGACTGTGATAACTGCCGAAGAGTGATCACTCGCCAAGAGCGGCGTAGACAGAGAGATGAGCTCAGCCGGGAGAGAAGGGCCAATGCGAGGAACAAAACCACCAGAGAAGCATGCGTCTGTATCGACAGTGACCCACTTATTATATTCTGCCCTGCTCGAGGCGAAGACGGCGACGAAACCTGCGCCGAGAACGCCCGGAGACGATACCACTTCAGTGCATGTGGGAAGGATTGGGAATGGCTCCACGATGCCATGCGACCTGTCATCTACAGCTTCAAAGATAAAACAAAGTGGCTCTCGCATTCCAACGAGATGCATGGCACCGTGTTAAGCCTCCTGCTCCGGGAAGTCTTCGATATAACCCTTCTCAGACGGAAGACCAACCCGACTCTTCACGCCCACGAGATCGACGAGCTCCTCGCCCTCGAAGGCCGCGCGGACTGGGGCAACCAGAGCTTCCCCGTTACATTCGCCGCCAACATCCAGGTCCCCATTGACATCCTGATGACCCTAGGCGTCGACATATTCCGGGACCTCAGTTTCGATACCTGGGTGATCCAGCTGGTGCTACAAAAACTCCTGGTGAACGCCGTACCTTGGGATCAGGGCCTGCGCGTCAAGATTAACCGAGCCGACAAAATAAAGAAGTCCTGGGCTTTCCCTCAACCTAGTCAACAAAAGGATTGGCCCGATGAGAAGTACGAGACATATGACCCCACCTGTCGATTTTTGTACCTGTTTCCGGGATTTGGCTTCTTCGATCATGGGTGTAAGGACAATGGCAATGCGCAATGGGGATACGACACGGAGATCCCCAATCGATTGCTCGTATGGGCAACGAAGCCGATCAAGACCGGGGAGGAGATCCGCATTTCGTATATCTCCAATCAAGATAAAGACGAGAGAGACGGTGTTCTACAGCGTGTGCTGGGTAAGCCATGTAGCTGTCCTGGGCCAACACATGGCGTACATCATGGTCCTGAGTCACCCAACCCCCATCCTCCTACAGAGGAATGACGAGCGCAGATTAAGACTTCTGGGGCCCAAGGAGCGCAGGGTGGGACTGTCCAGGGCGCTGCTCAGTGAGCGCGAGTCGAGCATATCGGCCAAGAGCCTTTAATAGCAGGCCATGCTCAAGTTATGACCACCATAAGGTATAAAGTGGTCTCCTCGTGTATCTATCTCAGCGTGTTTTGACTCCCCGGTGCCGCACCCTGCCTGTGGCTTGCTACCGCGCTGTTGCCCATCATGCTGTATTTGGTCTGTTATAGGTTGTGTCGTTATCTGTTCCTTCTCATCTGGTGTAAGTATGAAAACTTGAATAGGCACGAAGTACTCCGTACACAAGTATGAATCAACAAACACCACGCAGAGGCGAGCATGCTTTTTGGTCAAAACAAAAATTCCATTATATGCACACACAAGGAAAAAAAAATCAAGCCAAACACACAAGTGGAACCCAATCATATAAAATACAGTGTTTATCTTTGGAAAGCCGTATAACAACAACCCAGGGGAGAAAGAACTAGTCTATCCAGATCGTCACAGGCCGATGGGTGTGAGGATGGGGCTGAAAAGGAAAAGCCAGCACGAAACTTTACATACACATACATAAATCGCTCCGTATGACAAGATATGTCAGAGGTAAGTAGTATCTCGACGGGGCGACGAATACTGATCGTCTCAAGCTCCCTCCCTGCTAATCGTTCACTGAACAATCTTTAGACTTGGGCAGGCACTGTGAGACGTCTTCCCAGCTTCTCAAGCTCGCCGATCACACCGCCACCAGCCAGAGTCCACTTCTCATTGACCCATTCTTCACTAACCTGTTGTCTCAGAAGACCGCTGCGCGCGAAGTACTCCATGAAGCCCCGGGCCTCTTCGCGAGAGACACCGGCAATGGTCTGAAGCTCCAGGGCTCCCTCCGTGGGAATAGAGGACTTAGGGGACTCAAACGCGGCAAGCACACGCTGGTCAGGATTACTGAAGGCGGTGGGCATGGGATAGTCCGGGCTGGAAGGATCCACGCGGTTTTGGCGAGCGGCCACCCGCTTGAGGGCAACATCAAGACTGTAGACACCAGGGTTGTTGGAGGCGGAGGTGGCGTAGAGCAGGACACCACCGTTGGGCAGAGCGGACTGCTGGTTCTTGCCGGGCTTCAGCAGAGAGAGGAAGTGCTGGACGAAAACAAGGTCATGAGCGTGAATGAGCTCGTACTTGGCAGTGCGGTATTTGGTCTCCTTCATCCAGTGGGCCAAGCCGTCGACGGCGACGAGCATAGGAGGACGAGAGGCGAAATCCTTCTCGAAGCCAGGGGCAGGGGATGTAGCCGTGAGTTCAGTCCACAAGGCCTGGAAGACGGGCCAGGCGGTGGCGGGATCTTGAATACCGAGGTTGGCGAGAGCCTCGAGTGTCGTGTCGCGCTTCAAGGGGGACTTGAGGGCAGGATGTTCACGAGAGACCTTCAACTTAGAGAGGACTTTCTGGTTGGCCGTCACAGTGCGGGACAAGAGAGCGGCGGTGGCCTGGTTTTGGACATATACGTTGGGGTTCTCATCCGAAAGGGGCGCGTAGCTAGTGTGGGACAAAACCAAGTCCTGACCTAAATGCCTTTAGTTAGTGATTTGCGGCATAGTACGTCAAGATGGGCCAAGCATACATTCAGGAACAGTCACAACAACCCATTCCTTGGTGAAGGCCATCGACATGGCCTGAAGGAGGTGGACTGTCTTTCCGGAGCCTCGGGCTCCAGTAACAATTCTCTTGACTACCTTGCCCTTGTCCTCAGGTTTATCAGAGATCCCATCAATCAACCGTCCAAGTTCGAGGGATTCCCGTCTCGTCACGGTGCCGGGCCGGCGGAAGATAGACCAGCCTTGTTTGGGCTTGAAGGCCTGAACAGCTCTCAATTGATCCAGCATGGGCACGGGCAAGCCAAGGATGGATCCACGAAGCCGAGAGTCCACCATGTTGTCTGCAGAGATATCCTGCATGTCTGCAACTTCGAGGGCATTAGGGTTGCTGAGGACAATGCGTTTCCGGAGCGCTCTCCGCTCTCCGATGGCAGGAGGGCGCACTCTATCAGTGACCTTTCTCTTCTTCATTTTGAACGTCGTCGCTGTCCGATGCTTGGGACCCGATTGTTGACCAGGTGCCTTCTTCTTCGGAGGCAATGCCAAAAGTGGACTCGACGTGTGGAACGCCGCGACTCGCTGCGCTGTCAAGGTCGGCGGAAGCATGGGCCGGGGGGACGCTGTTGGGAGCCGCGTTAGGCAACTCCAACAGAATGAGGATACCATTGCGAGTGGGATGGCGCACTGGCACCGTGGCCAGTGTCTAAGTGGTCAGTGGAGGAGTGCGGTGGTGAAAGAAGGATCGGAGGTTGCGCCGGAGACTCGCCGCAACGGCAATGGGAGTGGAATTGGAAATTCGGAGGCACATTTTCGAACCTCGACACTAAGGAACTTCCTCTAAGGGCCTCTTTGGGATTAGTGCAATAGCGACCTATTTGTGGAAGGCGGTGTAGGATAGCAGCAGCGGACCCGGTTTCACCGCCCGCCGTTTTTTTTCCTTTAATTTTTTTTTCCCCTGCGCTATCGCTGATCCAGCACGCTTGGATGTCCAGATACTGTCCTTTCGTCTCAATCTCGATTCGAGTGTGAATTCAGTTACGAGCGGTCGAGTTGTCACTGAATCAGTACCAATGGCGACAACTGCTACCCAGGCAGCTTCTGCCACCAAGTCGAAGCCGGAAAGACTGTAAGTCAGATCTATAAATGCGCCCGGAACGTGACAAAATCAACATCCAGTACATGTGCTGACTAGCCCTTCGCCTCAGTCCTATCACTGTCTCCAAGCCCACTCCGTACACTTTCGATCTCGGTCACTTGCTTGTCAATGATCCCAATCCCCTTGAAATCTCCCGCTCCGAGCCGCTGGAAACTACCTTGAAGGCCACCGCCCGCGACGGCACACAGTCTCTCCTCAACCAGCTCTTGACGACCTGCCCCATCACCTCTTCACAACAGGGTGTACTTCTCAGCCTTCCCGCGCCCGCCACTGCTCTTCCTCGTCACAAGCCCCTGCCGACGCCCAAGCCGCCGACCAAGTGGGAGTTGTTTGCACGCAAGAAGGGTATTGGCAAATACAGCAGCAAGCCTGGTGCGGCTTTGGCGGACAAGGAGCGCCGCAAGAAGCTCGTGTACGACGAGGAGAAGGGCGAATGGGTGCCTCGTTGGGGCTACAAGGGAAAGAACAAGAACGAGGATGATTGGTTGGTGGAGGTGAACGAGAAGGATTGGAAGAAGGAGGAAGAAGCCGCTGCCAAGGGTAGCTCTATCCGTGGTATCTCGCGCGCCGAACGCAAGGACAGGATACGACGCAATGAGAGGAAGATGCGGTCGAATGAGCGCAAGTCGAGAAAGTCTGGCGGCGGTTAAGCCAGTCAGGTATGACAAAGTGCGTTTTGAGAAGCCGTGGTTGTGTTGTTGGAGATAATCCTCATTTGCATCATTTAACGGGGGCTTTCCTTATAAGGCGTTCGGTCGGAGTCGCTGGTCTGCTGGTCTTGAATGTCAACTTGCCTACGTATGCACATTATCATTAGTAGGCACAGAAAAGCAATATTACATTTACGCTTTGGTAGTATTCAAGTACCATCCAAGTCATTTGAAGTTTTGTTGAAGGCCCACATATCACAAGACAGCTTTTCATAAGAAGTCTTTCAATTTGACTTGCGGCCGCCCGCCGATGTGGTCTATATTACAGCAATAGATCAAAGCAACACAAATCCTCAAGATGCAACGAGGAATAATACAGAGAAAAGGTCAGAAAAGAAGGCAAAACTGCCAAAAAAATTTAGGTCAAAAAGCATTCGATGGAGCTGTAATGGGGAATCCATGTAGGGCAAACCGGGAAAAAGAAAGATACATGCATGCCAAACTGTAATAGATAGATGTCACCGAGGCTAAAAGCAAGATGATGGAAAAGGTGACCCAACGATACTCCGAACTCTGTACAAAAAAGAGCAATAAGACTGGATAATCATGACCGACTCCGAAAGCGCCAGGCATGCAGTATGACATAGACTCAAGATGATTGAGATGGCGAAAAAAAAAAAGACAAACAAACTGCACGTTGGAAGAACAAGGCAAGACTATAGAGAGGCATATGCTGGAGATCATGTATGTATCGACGTTGAAAGCGAGATTGGGGAAGATTAGACGCCTAGATCCGAAGTATATAGCCTTAGTCATAATGCAGTACCTGCGGAACCAGTCCGAGAGACAGCACATGATGCCTTATTGACAGGTTTGAAATGCTTCGAAAATCAAAAGCAGAGAGAGAAAGTGCGACTTCTGGCGCAGCCTAGTCGGTCAAGCAATCAAAGTGTAGGAAAGAATTTCGCCTCTTCATCCTAAACTTCATTAGATATGTCGTTCATATTTGAATGGGAGAAAGAGGGGGTCCGAGTTCGGGAAGCTGGGAAACGCTCCTAGTATGCGCAGTTTCGATATTCTTCGGCCTGTGTTTGCGGACCTTCGGCGTCTCCGGATGTGGCGGTTCTTCCTCAAATGCAGGCTGGCTGCTCCCAGAGGACACAGCCCTTTCATCACTGATTAATGAGTGTTGGATTTGGTAGGACATCCCGTCATGGGGGGAAGGAGAATTTTCCTTCTCATCCATATCCTTCTCAAGCTGCAGGTACTCCTTCTCTGTCCAGCAACCTTGCCAGCAGTTTTTCCAATCGCAAACAAGGAAATGGAAACAGAAAGCATCGATTTTCATACAAGGCTGGAAGCAGATGCACAGATTTCGATAGTCCATCTTATTTTGCTCCACGTAGGAATGGAGCAGGTTGAGGTGGCATGTTATGGCGAAGAGAAGATAATAGTTGTATGGCGGCAGTTTGGAGAGCTCGTCCTTCAGCAATTGCGGGGCTGTTGTTGCGCCCTCACATTTCTCGGCAATCATGGCCTGGGTCTCCTTGGGAAACAGTTCATCGGGAAGTTCACGGAGCCAAGCCTTGAACATTGACCCAATCGTGTTGATGTCGTACAGGTTCGGTTCATCAAAGAGGTTGATATCGTATTCTGTTTAATAAGTTAGCATCCAAGTAGACCGCAAATGTAGCCTAAGTGCGCATACCAGTGTCAAATCGTCGTTGCCAGTGTTTCACTTCCTTTCCGCTACCCGGCACACGATATAGCCCTTCCTCCTCGCAGCCCTTGAAATTGAGGTAACTGAAGTCACGTTAGCAGCTAGGATCATCAAAGGACACTTCCAAACTCACTCAATGCAGCGATAGGGCAAAGCGGGCATCCAGAATTCCGTCTTATCCCGACAGTCTTCGAGCCTTTTCGCTATCCGAGTCCGACGCGCTTGCTGTATTAAGGGCAGATTGATCACGGAGCAGACATAGTTGTCGTCGTTAAACAGCTCGCGCTCATTAGTGCTGCCGCTGCGAGTGATTTTCCCGAAGAACCCTTTCCCAGCTTTGCCAATGCGATCTGCCGCACCACTGGAGGACTGTTTCAGATTATTGAAAAGTGTAGCCGATGCGCCGGAAACCTGACTCAGCGACGCAGACGGAACTATGGATGCGCCATAATTCTTATTACTGCGGACAGAGCCGTAATGAAATTCCGCAGGTCGGTCGGAGGTGTAACTGCGTGCTGTGGGGTTGCCGGCAGTCCTAATACCACGATCATGACGTGATGCTTTGGGGGGCTCGGGAGCCTCCCGCTTGCTGCACTCCTCCAACCTCATGAGACTAGTGGACGGTCGTCTGTTCGCTATCCTGTTCATAGAAGACTCGTCCAGTCTGATCGAACGGGAACGAGAGAGTAGATTTGCAAAACGCGGTTTATTCTTTCGAGCTGCACTGGCCGCTTCAGCCTCCGCAAGGATTTTTTTCGCGTCTGTCGGCTGTGAAATCTTCTCCTCTGGGTAGTTACCACCTAAGGATAGATTTGTCAGATACACTCATAAAAGCTAAGCGCAATGGATTTGTACACACGTTCTTGTTGAGCTGCGCGCTCAATGGTGCCCGGCAGGTCAGGGGTCGATTCGTATTGCTTTGTTGAGATCTGTGTTTTGCGATCCCTAGAACTGCCACGACTCTTCGGGTTGGTCCCTGAATCGCCAGAACCGTCTGACCTCTGAGCCCTATGCGACACCTTGGGCGCCTTGAGATTGGCGAAAAAGGAACGGGATGGATCCCGGGAATGCTTGGGAGAATCCCTCGGAGAAGGAGGATACTGAGGAATGGCTGTTAGGCCTGGGGTAGCGGGTTCCGCAGTAGCAGGACCGGTAGAGGTAGGGCTGCTGTGGTTGTTGTGGTTGTTGGACTCTTGTGTGACAGGTCTTATTGTTGCCCCCTTGAAAAATGGCGAACTCGATGAAGACTTGGGAGAATGGGGTGTCAGGGGACTCGGTCCGTCGGAGCTTTGGGCGCCGGGAGTCAGTGGAGACGAGATCTTCGCATTTCCCTGCAGGGTGGAAGGGCTAAGATCTAAATTGGGAACAGTTGACTGCCTCGACGGCATTTTAGTCGTTTGTCACGAGCTAGATGCGTGCTCGAGTGAGGGGTTTCGAGTATAATCTATCGATCGGTTTTTGGAAAAGAATTCACCAAAGGTTGATGGGAGGGCGACGTCTCGAGGAAGAAAACGACCTAACTGCAGGATACCTATGTCAGCAATTTACTCTGACCTTAGGATATGGGATCTATTTGAGGCGCCAACCCACTGATCGCAAGCGGGATTCCAGGACTTGCTTACTTGTTTGGGTAGCGCTAACCACCGTCCGGCGATATAAACATAAGTCTCCTTGCTTTTCCCTCTTCACGAATGGGCGGTATTGATGGCTCGGGTGTATAAACTGGGTAGGCTGAGGTTGTTGCGTTGAAAGGATCGGAAGGGAACCAGCCTTCGCCAATCTCTCCTAAATTATTGAGCTAGCTGAAAACACGGGGAGTAAGCCGAGATGGTGCTTTGAAGTCAGATTGAGCAATTGAATCTAAAATGGAATTGCATGGTCGTTAGTGGAACCGAGGATAGGAGAAGCTTCGTTCAAAGAATAATGCTGAAAGAGATAGAGAACGGTGTCATTGTCACACGAGAAGCGATAGATGCGACGATACAACAAAGCAACCGCGTTCCCATCGGGGATAAGATGCGCAGCAGGGAGGCCAAGATGAAGACATAAAGAGAGAAGCAATATTGACCAGCAGGACAAACTGCGCGAAGGATGGAAAGAAAGTTGCCTGTCACCACACGTACCTAGCTGTGTCGCCCCT